AATAATGTATTTTTATGCCCCAAGTTTCAATAGCTCCATTTCCACAGCCTCTCCAAGAGGCATACTCACACATGTGAAGTTGATAGAGACCAGAGGGTGATTACAGTTCTCTAGACGTGTGTAGAAATGTGTCTGCGTATCCTGGGGAGGTGGGGAAGACTGTGGGGACTTGATACCGTCATATAGTACAGACCCCATGGTCTGAGTGAGCCTGAGCCCAGTTGTATAGGAAGATGGGAAGAGGCAACAGTGAGGTGTGGACATCACCAATTCCAAGGGTGCACACGGCCACCTGGCCAGGGAGCAAGCTGGGGCTCCTGGATGATCAACAGTGTTTGCTCTGGAGAGCCAGTTGGCCGCCTTTCTTCATAAAGCACAACTTGGAGGCTCAGTTCCCACCTGCTCTCTTGACATTCGTGATGGTCGCAGCACGAGCTCGGGGTGTTTACCGCAGCATTTCGTGTTCGCTGCATAGAAATGCAAAGTGGATGCGATATAAGCAAAGGCTATTAAATACACAAGCATAAATCATAACAAAGACGTTTGCTGTGTTCAAAATAGTGAAAAACGTCACCTTTCATTGTTGAAAGATAACAACAACTGTCTTTCATCTGGAAAGATCCTGGGATATATCGTTAGAGGATCGAGTGGGGTTAGAGCGGTGTGCATAGTTGGCTGCCATAGTGGGTCAGCTGGTCACCCTGCTGTAAGCCATGGGGGTAGGACACTAAGTTCTGCATTTGCTTTTTGATGGCATTGCTAGTTCCTTTGCCTGGACAAACAGATCCCAGACAACCAAGGACTTGCTGCACACTGCCCACCCTGATGTTGCCGTCACATTGGTGGGGTCGCTGTGAACTAGGACTCCTTCGTGCTGCACCGAGTCTAAAGACTGTCTTGAATGTCTTTGTTTTTCTCATTGACTTCGTGTTGGCATTATAAAGGCTGACTGCAGACACACACACACACACACACACACACACACACACACACACACACACACAAGCCCTGTTCAGCTCCGGTTCTAGAAGATGCAAATGGGTCAGCTGAAGATATCCTGGTTTGTCATCTCCCCAGTGAGTTTGTACAAGTGGGTGAGTAGAGGAAATTCTTCATAATGGGCTGGTGCCATTGCTCAGTAGGTCAAGGAGCTTGCTGTGAAAGTCCAGTGGCCTGAGTTTGATTTCTGGAATGTGAAGTTGCTGTCCCCTCTGCATACAGGCAGTGACATATGTGTGTGTGCACTCACCCATATTCACCATACACATCCATGCACCCTCTCCCCCCAACACAGATACTCACTTATACACATGCTAGATAAAGTTGATGAGGCAGGTGAAGACAGCTCTCTCCCTTGTTGTCTGGAACTCACTATGTTGACCAGGTTGGCCTTGAACTTACTGAGATTCACTTGTCTCTGCCTCCGGAACTTGGATTAAAGGTGTGCACCACCACTGCCTGGCTTGTTAATATTTTTTATTGTGTATGAATGTTTACCGGCATTTATTCATGTGTACCAGTGCCTGAGGAGGGCAGGAGAGTGTTGGACCTCCTGGAGCTGGAGTTACAGATGGTTGTGAGCCTCCATGTGGGTGCTGGGAACCGAACCTGGGTACTTTGCAAGAGCAGCCAGTGCTCTTCACTGCTGAGCCATCTCTCCAGCCCCAGGATTACTAACAGTTTCCTATAGCAAAGCTGAGTGCTTTCATAGGAGCGTCTCACAAAGATGCTATGAACAACGAGCTTCTCCACCAGTGAAGCTGCAGTAGCACAGCACAGGGTTTGGGAAGTCCCCCTAAGAGCCTGGAGCTCTGCCTGGCCCTCACAGATCCACTCCCAGGGTTCTGAAGTATCCCGACTGCTGATGTCTGCACTACGGAGCAGCAGCATTTGCATAAGCCTGAAACCCAACAAAAGTGGCCTTCTGGTACCCCTTGGGTTTTCAGTAAGAAGGTATTTAAGAAATTCTTTCCCAGCCAGGTGGTGGTGGTGGTGGTGGTGCACACACCTTTAATGCCAGCACTTGGGAGGCAGAGGCTGGTGAATCTCTATGAGTTCAAGGACAGCCTGGTCTATACAGAGTGAGTTCCAGGACAGCTAGAATTCTATAGTGAGACCCTGTCTTGAAAAATAAAAAAGCAACAAGAGAAAGAAAGAGAAGAAGGAAGGGAGGAAGGAAAGAAGGAAGGGAGGACGGGAGGAAGGAAGAAAAAAGAAAGTTCATTTCCAGTTGGTTATGGTGGCACAGACCTTGGACCCCAGCACTCAGGAGGCAGAGGCAGGTGGATCACTGTGAGTTCTAGGCCAGCCAGGGCTACATGGTGAGATCTTGCCTTAAAAAGAATTTAGGGGCTGGAGAGATGGCCCAGTAGTTAAGAGCACTGGCTGCTCTTCCAGAGGACCAGGAGTCACTTCCTAGCAACCATTTGTAACTCTGTTTCCAGGGGGGATCTGATGCCTTCTTCTGGCCTGTGTGGATACCGTATGCACATGGTGTCCAGACACAGATTCAGGGAAAACACGTAAACAAGTTCAGAACTTGAGAAAGAATTAATTCCATTGTCACATTATATAGGGGCCCAGGAATGAGCAGAGCAACCTCGTTGCCCGTTTTAAATAGAATCCTGATTGGATTCTTTCTGAGCACTTGAGTAGCGTTTGGACGAACAACAACAACAACAACAAAAAAAGCCCTGAGTGTCCAGCTGCAGCCTCCCTGAGCACGCCACATTCTGCACTCCTCCCTAGTTGGAGGACTCCACAGTCTGTTGCTATGGAAACAGTAGTCAAGTCACTCTGCGACAAAGGACCTCTCCTGGGTCCAAACATATTGTTTCCTTCTGTTTGGTTAGGTATCCATGGAAACGTGCACCTTCTAGAAGCTCGGCTCTCCATGGCTGAGGCTCTGAGGGATGGACGGAAGGAGAGCGAGTTTCTCTCCACTGTTAGATGATGCTCCAGCCGGGTGGGTCACAGGTTCTTATCTTCCCCCTTCCTTCCTCCTTATCCCCCCCCCATCTCTCTCCTGCTTTCTCTCTCGTTCTTGCTGTCTCTGTCTCCCTTCTCGAGTCGTCTCAATGTGTAGCCCAGGCTGGTTTTCACCCGATGATGCTCCTGCCACAGCCTCTCAGTGGTGAGGTCACAGGATTGTAGGCTGTGTCTGGCCAGAAGACTCCAACCAGACACACGTGTCATAGAACCGGCCCACCTTCCAGATGAGCAAACCGAATTACACAGTTTTCAGCTGGCCGCACTCCAAGACACACAGGCTGCTAGAGGCATTACCCGGCTAGGGAGCAGAGCCCAGGACGCACGCACGCACGCATGACGCATGCACGCAGGCACGCACGCACAGTGGCTTTTCCCTAGTGCTTCCAAACAGCTGTTTGTCACACTCTCCCCCACTTCTATTACCATCCCGACCCAACTGCATCCATATGAAGTCAAACAGCCAGACGATTTTTCTCAAACTTGGGAGAGAGACAGTTTCCACATCCCCTTCAGCGTGAAGGGAGCCGGTGGCATTCTGCCGTGCCCCCTTTTGGAGGCTAATCATCACCTTGTCTTAATTTGGTTTCTGTCGCTGTGACTAAGCACGGACCCAAAGCAGCTCCTGGGAGGAAGGGTTTTATTTCACTTTACGGATCACAGTCCGTCCCGAGGGAAGCAAGGGACTCACGGTAGGAACCGGTGCACAGACCATGGAGGAACGCTGCTTGCTCAAGGCTTGTTCTCCATGGCTTGCTTAGTTTGCTCCCTTATGCGGCCCAGGACTGGCACCACCCACAGGGCATAGGCACACTCACCTCAATCATTAGTCAAGAAAATGCCCCGCAAGGCTTGCCCTTAGGGCAATCCTGATGGGAACAGTTTACCAATAGAGGCACCTTCTTTCCAGGTGGTTCTGGTTTGTGTCAAGTTGATGAAAACGAATCAGCACACCGGCCTTCCCGATCGCCTCCTGAATCCAGGAGTCATTTAAATCTCTCAAAGAAACCGATAAGTACAGAGAGTCCCCGAGTTTGAACCAACACCCGTTTCTGCCTCCTTGCCTCCCGCCCCACTCTGCTGGCTGTGAAAGTCGGGGGACCCCCCTTTCCTATCACAGTTAATTATCAAAGGCTGTTAGAGCAGGAACCCAAACAGGGCAGGACCCTGGAGGCAGGAGCTGATGCAGATGCCATGGAGAAGTACAGCTTACTAGCTTGCTTCCCTGGCTTGCTTAGCCTGTTGCTTCTGGAGTTTCCAGCCTGGTTCCACAACGGATTTGCTCCAAATAAACACATGGATACTATATTAATTATAAAACTGTTGGCCAAAAAACCAAACCAAACCAAAGCCAAAAACTGTTGGCCGATGGCTAGGGCTTCTTACTGGCTAGTTCTCTCTTAATTATTAACCCATAACTACTAATCTATGTATTTCTACATGGCCTTGTCTTACCAGAGAATGCCTGGTGCATCCCATCTTCCCGGTCTCTTCATGGCATCTTTCTCTCTGCTTTCCTCTCTCTCCTTCCTCCTTCCTCTCGGAGCTCTGCCTATCCTTCCCACCTGGCTACTGGTCAATCAGTGTTTTATTCATCAACCAGTAAGAGAAGCATACATACAGAAAGACATCCCCCATCAGCCTGCTCTCTTATAGAAGCTAGGACCACCAGCCCAGGGGTGGCACTGCCCATCAATCACTAATTAGGAAAATGCCACATAGGCTTGGCCACAGCTTAATCTTATGATATTGTTTTTAGAGACAGAGTTTCTCTGTGTAGCCCAGTCCTGGAACTCACTCTGTAGACCAGGCTGGCCTCGAACTCACAGGGATCCTCCTGACTCTGCCTCCTGAGTGCTGTGACTAAAGGTGTGTGCTACTAACACCCAGCTCCCAGCTCCCAGCTCCCAGCTCCCAGCTCCCAGCTCCCAGCTCCCAGCTCCCAGCTCCCAGCTCCCAGCTCCCAGCTCCCAGCTCCCAGCTCCCAGCTCCCAGCTCCCAGCTTGATCGTCTGAAGGCATCTTCTCAGTTGAGGTCCTCTCCTCTCAGATGACAGTACTTTATGTCAGGTAGACGTAAGCCAACCAGCACAAGCACTGTCCTTCTGTTTTTTTTTTTTTCAAACTGCATAACGGTTTAGAAGAGTTGACATGATATGAATGGATTCACTTCTCAGAGCGTCTTGAAACACAGCATCGGCTACAGTGACCAGGACTGGAAGGACTCGCTGCACAGGTATGCAGTAACATGGGCCGTGGGATGTAGAGGATGATATACTTTTTTTATCAGAAGCTTGTATGGTCTTTAGGGCAGGAACGGAATGAATCAATGCCCTCTTCTGACTTCCCGCGTGGTGCACAGATGCATGTATGCAGGCAAACGCTCATACGACATGGAAAAATAAAACCAAGTAAATCTTTAAAAACACAGAAAGTGGCCTCTCTCAGGACCCACGGGCTCATTAGACCACAAGGTTCAGTAGAACTCGATTATTCCTGTTTAGTTCCCAGGCCCTGCCTCGGTGGCAGCAGTCTTTCCTGGTGGGCTATGTCTTGGTTGGCTTTCAGCACCTTCTTCCTACTTACGCCTGGTAGAATCAACGGGGAACTGGGAATCAGTCCGCACCCCCACCCAAGGCACATAATTGCTGTTTAGAGTTCCCTGGCAGCCTAATTAAACTGCAGAAGCCTAAGAGCAATTAGGTGGGAATATTTGCAAAATGAATGCATATTAGTACTGTGCAGTTACAGGGGCCTGTCACTCGGGTATGTGGATACATTGATTTTACCAGTGCGGGGTGGGGGAGGGAGGAACAAAGAAAATTACCTGCATCTCGTGACTCTAGTCTATTCTTGGCTGAGATGCTAAGATCTCCTCAGGGATAAAGGGTTTATTTATAAAAGTGGGAATCACTCACATTTGGAACCATAATGTCATGTATGAAAAGGCACTTTCAGATTACTGAAAAAAAATCAACCAATGTAAAGGCAAATTGAGGTTGGGGATTTTTTTTAAAATACATTTTTTTATTAATTCTCTGATCTTGCATGCACTCAATATATTTTCATTACACCTCCTCTTTACGAGCCCCTTAGTTCCAGGGTTCTTTGGTATTGAGGCTGCGCCTTCACCAGCCAGCATAGCAGCATCTCCATGATGATGTTCCGTGAGCCTCGGAAAAGGGTATGATATAAATAAATTTCTTACCTAAGGCTGAGTACGCCACAGACTTTTAGTTTTTGCACCCTGATTAGTTAGTTGTGAGTTTCTGCCTAACCACTGCCCAATGCACTGTCTGATGAGGTCTGGGAGGTACATTAATTTAGAGGCAGAGATGTGTACTCACAAGACACGTTGATACTATGTCCATTTGGAAAATGATAGCAGCGGGGTCACTATAGGGGTTTATGAATTCCTGTCATGGACTCTTGACCAGATTTACAGTGTCAAGGAAACATTTCTTCCCATGGAGCAGGCCTTAAATCCAGTTGGGGAGAAGCTGCTGGCCCCCATAAGTTTTGTGTCACGATGGCATGCATGGGCATAATTTGCCACAAGGTCATCATCTTAGCTTCCAGGGTTCTGTGAATAAAACTGGGTGACCTTTCTCCCCCAGCAGCTTGCGTGGTGCCTTCTAGTATCATGGAAGTTATCCAGCAGGGAGGAAGCTTCCCAGCCAGTACCAAGTTGATTCTGCATGTCCTGTGAGCAAAGTAACCAAGTTCTGTGGGCAATCAAAGCCAGTGGGGTTCTCCAGGACATCCTTAGCCAACAACTCTAAGACAATGAGGTTCTCTGGGACATCCTTAGCCAACTACTCTAAGACAATGGGGTCCTCCAGGACATCCTTAGCCAACAACTCTAAGACAATGGGGTCCTCCAGGACATCCTTAGCCAACAACTCTAAGACAATGGGGTCCTCCAGGACATCCTTAGCCAACAACTCTAAGACAATGGGGTCCTCCAGGACATCCTTAGCCAACAACTCTAAGACAATGGGGTTCTCTGGGACATCCTTAGCCAACAACTCTAAGACAATGGGGTTCTCCGGGACATCCTTAGCCAACAACTCTAAGACAATGAGGTTCTCCGGGACATCCTTAGCCAACTACTCTAAGACAGTGAGGTTTAGCCAATAACTCTAAGACAGTAGGGTTCCCCAGGACATCCTTAGCCAACAACTCTAAGGCAGGTATCCCATACCTGATGTTGGACTTTTTCTTTTCTTCTTCTTTTTTTTTCTAGACAGGGTTTCTCTGTGTAACTCTGGCTGTCCTGGAACTCACACTGGAGACCAGGCTGGCCTCAAACTCACAGAGATCCACCTGCCTCTACCTCCCAAGTGCTGGGATTAAAGGCGTGAGCCACCACTGTCCATCGGGGATGTTGGACTCTTTGTTGTGCTGTGGCTTTGGGAACTTCTGCAGTATTCTCCAGAGTAGATGTCACAGCGTGAACCAACGGAGGCCTCAGACAGAGAACGTTAAGCAAGTGGGCAGAGAATAAACTGAGAACAAGCGGCCACTGCTTGTCTGTAGCTGTGGAAGCGACAGGAAGTCAAATGGCACCAAACGTCCCCAGAGGCAGCACCAAACCAGCCCATTGTCCAGGTGCTTGTGACACTGTTTGGAGGGGACAGGCTCAGGGTGTCTGCCAGCTGGTAGTCCTGTTGCTAATCTTCCTGCACCTAGCCAGTGGCTCAGGGTACCTCCCCCCAACCTCAGTTAGATGGAGGGTGTTAGGAAGAAAGAGCCAGTGTGTGAGAACCAAGTAAACATGTTGCGGGAGAGAGGGGTCCTATCAAGGCAGGTGAGAATTAGGGCCACGTGTTTCCTCAGAAAATCACCTAGTACGCTGTATCAACACCGGAAGTGTCGGCACAGGCTACTAGAAAGTCACCTGGCAGCACTGCTCTGCCCAGTGAGGCAGCCACTAATACTTGAAACAGGGAGAAACTAGCTGCATCTTTAAGGTAAATTTAGAAACTATTGATTTCCATTATCTGGAAACTAAGCAAGTTTAGGAGAACCTGGGTATGGGGATCTACTTCTGAACTTTAAATTTTGTGCAATCTAAATACTGACAAAGCATTTCTAGTAACATTCTAGTACCTCGCTCCAGATGTGCACACTGGATCCCAGAGACTCTGCTTGGTAAGGGAACGTAAAAGATCTCCTTGAAATGATACCTTTAAGGTCAATCTTATTTACTCCTTATTGTTTTTTTTAAGACATGATGACTACTTGGAAAACTTAAATGACATATTATTTGACTGTATCCCACTCCTTTTTAGGGGAGAGTCTTAACTGGTCTAGAACTGTGTGGCTCAGACTTGAAATTGGGGCAAATTCTCCTGCCTCAGTGCCCTAAGCATTGGGGATATAGTCAGGAACCTCACACCTGAACGGTATTGTGTTTCTATGAGACAGCATTGCTGTAACAGAAAAGCACCGGCTTGTAAAGAAAATGTGCATGTTATTCAAAGTAGCAGGACAAGATTGTGGTGCTGGGAAAGGCTAGCATGGGGATAAACATATTGCCTAGACAGGAGCGGATAAGCATTTTAATAAGGAATATACACTGTGGTCAGAAACAGAGGGCAAGCACTCACGTGTGCCAACTTGCCAAAGAACCGACTTAACTTCTTAAAGTGTGGCTTGATCGTGACACATGCCAGCTTGGAGGGGCAGGTGGCTATCAGGCTCCTCGTTTAGCTGAGTCAAGCATGGAATCCCACCACGGCCATGGAATTACTGGCAACCTTAGCTGGGAGCGGGGGAGCCAGTTTTTGATGAGAGTGTGGCCCCTGCTAAGTTGCCCATGCCCCAGTAAAAGACGGAGGAATACTGGGGCAGTATAAATTGATCTTGGTGGTTTACAAACAAACAAAAACACCCACAAAGTTGGGTGGGAAGGAGGGGAGTGAATCTGAAAGGGAAATATACTCAAAACACGTTGAACAAAATTATCAAACAACCAATATTTATAAAAGAAAAAAGACACGTTTTAAGAGTCAGGCATGGCAGCCCCATCTTTATTAATTCCAGCACACAGGAGGCAGAGGCTGGCAGACCTCCAAATTTAAGGCCAGCCTGGTCTACCTAGTGACTTCCACGCCAGGTAGGGCTGCAGTGACAGTGGCCACTTTATCAGGTGATCTAATTTTTTGATATCTACACGGCTTGGGGACAGAGGAAAGGAGGGGAGCAGAGACAAATCAATTGCACCTGTGGCAAACTGCCCAGCAGGATGGATTTCAAAGGAAGACAGATTCACTTTGGTTTGCTTTCAGACGTGTCTGCCCATGGTTGCTCGGATTTCCAGTATTGTGTCTGTAGCGATGTAGTATATGATGGCAGGCGTGGGTAGCGGATGTGGCCTGGTGACTGGGAAGTAGGGAAATAGGAGGAGGAGAGACTGGGATCCCAGTGACCCCCTCAATTGCATACCACCAGCACCGAGCTTCTTCCCAGGGTCTCGGCCTCCTCCTAAAGTGTCTACCACCTTCCAGCAGGGTCACGGACTGTGAACCAAGCCCTCAACACGATGGCCTTTGGGAAATACTCAAGATCCAAACTACAGGGAGTGCCTAACTCCATTTCCTCCTTGGCACTCTATCATCTCATATGTAGAACCACACAGGTGTGTCTCCAGAAGTTAAAAAAAAAAAAAAAGGAAAAGCGAGAGCGAGAAACAAAAAGGTGTAGGAATTGTCAGGGTGTCTCACGGGCTGTAAAGAGGAAGTGGGAGGTGACACTTGCTCTTCTGTGGTCACCAGCCCCCCGCCCCCATGCTTCGGTCTCTGTGAATGCACAAGAAGAAAGGTGTGTCTCCTAGTCAACCACCAGTGACCTCGGGCTCTGCTGGCCAGAGAACCGGGGTGAGCAGAGCAGAGAGAAGACGTTTTGGTTATGTTTATATAAAACTATTGTGTATTTTAGGATTTTTCTGTTCTAGTTTTTAACGCAATCTTTGTTTTCGTTACAGATGTCTGTTTTTACAAACTAAAGGGGAAAGCCTGTTGACAGACACAGCAGTGATCGAGCTCCTTGAAGCCAGCCTAGAGGCTCACAGAAGAGTTAAACATCCAAGGAACCATAATGACCAAAGACAAAGTTGAAAAAAATAGCTTGACAGGCAGGCAGACTAGAAGCAGCAAGGAGGTTCTCTCAGGGATTCTCAGGAAGGAAAATGTACTGGGGGGGGGATCAGCGACTTAGCGGGCGTCAGAAGGAAGACAGTAGCTATGGCAGACACAGAAGGAACAACTATGTCGTACATAGGCTGTCACGAATGAGACCTTAAGACTCACAGAGACATGCGGATGGACTTTCCTAAAGTCTAAAGACTGAGATGGATGGGCATAATAGAAAATTAGAACTCTCTTGATCTATTTACTTCAGGAATAAAAAGTCACCTGGACACGTAACTCCCCCTTCCATACCACCACACACAAAGCAAAAACAATAATTCCAACGATTTATATGTAGATTGTTATATATTTTTTTAAAAATTGCTCTTGTACATGATCAGAAGGGGAAGCAGAATAAGTCATTTAAGGTATTGCATCACCCTGTCCCTGATGAGTCTCTTCCTGAGTCCCTGTTTGACTCAGAGGTGTTGAGGTTTCTCTCGGTGTGGTGTCCACACTGCTCTGCTGACTCTCCTGAACACTGAAGCTCAGGGAGCACGCGTGATGTCTTGCTGATTGATGGGAGATTCAATGAAAGGCATTCCCATCTCAGTCAGCGCTGACTTTCCTTCATGGTTGGTCCTTACACGGCTTCTGGCAGAGGACTAATGTTATACAACCTTGTTATCAGGAATATAACAATATTGCACATTAACAGGCCTATAAATACATTTTACCCAATGACAGAGACATGCATCTCAGGCACTTGGGTAGTCTACTGTACTATTTCTTCAAAGTAGTCACTGTTCTCTTCCTGTGGCAGGAAAATTCACTTATGACCACAGACACCACACTTGTCACAGGACATACTTTGGCCCACAGCACATGGTGGAAATGAAGACTGTTACAACCTTGCAGGAGTTTTGTTGGTTTTTCTTGGAGACATGGTCCTGTGAGGTACCCTGTGATGGTTTGGAACCCATAACCTTCCTGTCTCAGTTCCCAAGTGCTGGGATTACAGGGGTGTGCCACCAAATTTGGCTTCTACTAGCAGAAGTTTTAGGAGCTGCCATGTTTCTGCATGTTTCCCTAAGGTCAGTGAACCCCACATAGGAGCTGTTTCTTTGGCTTGGATACTGGAAACGGACACAGCATAGATTAATTCCAAAGTCAGCAACGCAGAGACTCATAACTGATAATGTGCTGAGGATTATTGGCTACTTAGCGCTCAGTCCCAAACCAAACATCGCGATAAACTTCCTTAAAGCACAGAGTGTCACATGGGGGGGGGGAGGACGGAAGAGCCAGGGAATGGGAACAGAGGGGGTGAAATCCTGTCTTCTGGACATGACTCGGCTCCGCCTTCTTGAGCTCACTCTAGGTGCGGTGACTAGCACACGATCAAGCCAACATTCCAGTAGGGAGCGCGAGACTCAGTGAGTTACAAAACCAAGAGAGGACAAGATTGTGAGTTGGGGCATGTTGAGGGATGCCTAAGAGGGGTGGGAAGGGACACTGGGAGATGGCAGTGGGTGAGATCAACATACATTAAATGTGTGTCTAAAACTGTCAAAGAAAAAAATAAAAAGAGCCGGGCCTTGGTGGCGCACACCTTTAATCTCAGCACTCGGGAGCCAGAGGCAGGCGGATCTCTGTGAGTTCGAGGCCAGCCTGGTCTACAGAGTGAGTTCCAGGACAACCTCCAAAACAATACAGAGAAACCCTGTCTCGAAAAGCCAAAAAAATAAAAAGATACTAAGAGAATACCTTAAGAGATGCAGCCTGGCGCTTGCTTACAAGTCTCTAAAGTGTACGGACTTCCACTGGTTTCCATAGGGTCTACATGGCTCTCTGAACGACTCTTGATTACAAAAGAAGAAAGCCAATGGGTGTGTCATTGCAGATTAGCCCTCCTTCCCATGAGAGTCAAACTGAAGGCGCTTTCAGATAACCACGAGCAAAGGCAGGATGGCCTTACTTGTCTAAATCACACCACCCTGAAATACTCTGAGCACTGTAAGGGGGTATGGCCGAGTCATAGCCCCGTTGCTGAGAGCTACCATATATATGCTCGTGCGCACGTTACTTTCTCATGGAGCCCTTGAAAACAGGAAGAGAACATTGTTTGGACTGAAGGTCACACCTCCATTTGGGACATCATCGTAGGAGTTCTCCATGGAGAGAGGGTGGGCTAAGAAGGGAGGGGAGGCAAGAGACGCTGTCTCTCAGAAGGATCCCCTCAACCCTTCCTTCTCTGCCATTAAAGCTGAGTCTGTGGTGGAGTCATCAACCTGTGACAATAGCTTTCTGTCCCCTCCAGAGCAGAAAACCCAGTATCTGCATTCAGAATCCCACCGGATACACGACTGAGCTCATGGAGCATTCGGGACCCAACTGCAGTTCAGTGTCGATGGTTTCAACAACTCACAGCAGCTCTTCACAACAAAGAGGCTGAAGTTTCCTCCTGGGATGATCTCACTTGGTCCCTTGGCGACAGTGCTGGTGGGAGCAGAGTAGAACCATTAGTTGGGCCTCAGAAGGGCCCAGGAGGTGAGCAGACAGTGATGCATTGAAAATGGTAAGGGCAGGAAGCTGGTTTCCTCCTTCCCAGGTGCAGGGGGTTTTCAGGCAGAGACACCTGAGGGTTGGTTTTGGTTCTTAACTTCTGGGTGGCCTAGAGGACTCCCCCTATTTATCTCAGAATAGCAATGACAGGATAGGAACAATTCTCATTAAAAAAAAAAAAAACAACCACTAGACAGGGGTTGGAGATATGAGTAGGAAGTTAAGAGCCCTGGCTGTTCTGCTGGAGGACCCAGGTTCAATTCCCAGCACCCACATTGCAGCTCACAACTGTAGCTCCAGTCCTGGTGGGAGAATCTGATGCCCTCTGCTGGTCCCCATGGGCACTGCATGCACTCAGTGCAAAGACATACAAGCAGCTACTCAATGCACATAAAACCAAAATCTCAAATAAATTACAAGCTGCTTGAACATTAATAAGAATGTTCAGGAGCACCGATTTCACAAATCAAAGCTGTAGAGGGTGGAGACGGATGGCAGGGTCACTGGTGGCCTAGCCGCTCACCCACCATTGTCCTCACCGTGCTTCCAGGGCCACCTGGATTCTCGTGAAAATGAGGCAGTAAAAGGGGGAAATGGCAGATATCTCGTCCAAATTCTATCAGCTGAGATCACTAGGACTGGGGACCTGAGGTGAGGCCAGAGCGAGATCCTAGCAGCAGTGAGGGACACTGGCTTTGTGGACAGCTCCCGTCTTGATAATGCCGGGACTAATGTTGCTTGGACGGACAGAGCCTCCATACGGCTTTATCGTGTCGAATGCAAAGGAGAGGTGTGGTTGTACCTAACTTACATGGCGGCTGCAAGGTTAAGTGAGTTTGTTCACACCAAGTGCAGCGTGCACAGGGGTGCATACTCTCCACTTGTGAGCAGCCTAGCTTTTACTCTTATCCGGAAAGATAAGACACCACAAGGTTCGTCAGAAACACCATGAGGTTTTTTTTTTTTTTTTTTTTTTTTTTCCACACGGCCATTGAAGGAGCCAGCTAAGGAAGCTCATGGAAACAGATTGATGTGGTCTTTATGCTGGGGCTGTAGTATGGCCGTTTTCTCCAAAGATAACATGATCACACTACCTGCCTGCCTGTCCACCATCATGGAGCAGAGGTAAGCTTGGCTCAGTAGTTATGGCAACCAAGTAAGTGCAGTAATAGCCTGATAGCCAGGTCTATGGTAATAGTAAGAGAGTGATTAGCTTCAGTAAGTCATCACCCGTACTGGCATGAGAGTTTTCATTGATACTACCATTCTGGGGCTACCCACAACTCTATAGGGAAGCCTAATAAACTCACTGGTTCACCAAGCAGGGCTCTGAGTAACTGTCACACTTTCATCTGTTGCCGGTGCCCTATCTGGGGGTGAACAGACATTTGCCCACATCTCCCCCAGGAAAAGGCACGTGGCAGCTGGACTTGATTATTACTAAGAGATTACCGGAACCATAAAAAGTACCTGTTCAAGAGACTTTGGCAGCAAGATACCACTTCGGTTGTGTTGCTGAGTATGTTGGTGTTCTCCAGAACGTGGTGGCAGTTGGTATCTACCGGGGTGCTGGAGAGAATGCCTGGGGAGGAACCGAGTGCCGTTTACCGTCACAGTTTCACAGAACCCCAGAGCTACGTCTGTTCTCAGCTTCCCCTCTGCAGCCCACGCAGCCCACTCTCGAGTGTACGCGGCCCAGCTGATTCTCAGCCTTCTGCGGCAGCATATGCTGCACACGCAGCCTGGAAGCCTGCCTTCCTGGAAGCTTCCATCCCTCGGGCAGCCAGGACGCGGAGGACGGACTCCATACCCGCGATGCAGGCTGTCATGAAGCAGGCAGCCGTCCCTGCGATCAGGGCTCTCAGGGCTCCGGAGGCAATGTCACGCTTTCTGGATGGAGCCATGGACGCTGGGAGAGAAAGAGGCATTTGAGATTAGGTGGATTAGAAACCCAGATTTGTAGCTTAATTATTTTGTGACTGTACTCTTAGGGCTGTTGAAAGAGAAGCAAGCCTTAAAATTATCCAGAGGGCCCGCAGAGCCCCGAAAACATGGCCGTGTCTATGGGTTACCAGGAAGAATCAATCGACGAGACGACATCTTGTTAACTGTCATCATTTTTGTCTACACCCATGGCAGACATCAGTAACAAATGACAGCATCTTCTATAGTGAGCTTCCATGGACCCAGAATTCCCCCCTCGGGTGCCTGTTGTAGCTCTACCAGCATTGGTCAACAAGCGACTGATGTTTTTGGCTTGGTAGAAGTATCTGTATGTTTGAGCACATTTATCTTGTATACTAGAGTGTGCACATGAAAACTGTAGCCCAGAGCAGAGCTAAAACAGACCCTAGGGGACTGTACTGATGAAGAACCACTTTCTGTGACACAGAGTTAAAGAGCAGGATGAACCCGTAAAGGTCACAGCTGTTGTTGAAGAATATTCTGTTCACTTACTAAGTCCGCCGATCACTATTCCTAGGGAACCAAAATTGGCAAAACCACAGAGGGCGTACGTCGCAATGGTCTCGGAACGAATCTGTAAGGAAGCATAAACATAGGTGTGTACGTGACCTGACCCCCCTCTGAAATCTGACACCCCAGCTGGGCCTCACTGTCCACAGAATGAATGGTGGCAAGTATTCACACACTGCGGGCCATCAAATAACCACCGATGGTTTCCTTGTGCTCTTGAATTTTGAGGGAGAGGGAAAAGAGTGTAGATTCAAGGAACACTGACAGCAGACCGGGGATTAGTGCCCTTGACATCTACAAATGCTACTTCCGGCTCATTAATAACTTGTCATATTCCTTATGACTTGGTCACCCCGTCGTATTGTAGCAGGCACAGCGCTAGTTGCGGGAGATACGAAGTTGGTCTCAGAAAATATTTACACTAGATTATCTGACAACGGACGACTTGGAATATACAAAGAGCTGCTATAATTAACAAGCAGACTACTGTCCAAGTTTTGGATATATTGCTATAAAGGATATGCAAATGGGCAATGAGCATATGGAACAACGCTCAGTATTAGACACTGGGGAGGTGCCAACCGCAGTCCCAAGAGCCAAAAGGAATCCTCCTTTAAGTTCACTTATTTTAGGTATTTTGTCAGTTACTGCAAGAGCCAAAACTGAAAAAACAGAAACTGCCCACACTAAGCGTGTTGGGAAGTAAAGTATCCGGGGTACTCATGTACCGCCATTAGGAAAGTCACACAGAGCGCTCTCCTGGGGAACGCTGGAGTCTCACCGAGGTAACACATGCGGCCTGCATGGTCCTAGAAAAGAAAACGTAGTATCATATGATGTGTCCAAAGGGCCTGCAGACCCCTGAGAACATGGCAAAGCCAGTGGCCACCAGGAAGACCCCGTCAGTGGGACCACGCCTCACTCAGCTGTCACTGTCGGCTTCTTCACCGTAGGAGATGTGAAAACACAGGCCACAGAAGACTGCTCATGAATGTTCTTGCGACTTTACTCCTGGGAGCCTCACATTTGAACAGCTCAGATGTTCGACATTAGAGACAAATTGTGAAGATCCACAAAGCACAACATTGCTCTCCAGAAGGGGAAAGGTGTGTGTGTGCGTGGTGGATGGACGGCATGGGTAGCAGTCTGCTGTGGATGGCACGGAAGCTAATGCAGTCTATGCAAACACACAAGAGTGACCAGTATGGTCTGGATTGTGACTGTTCCCCAGAAGCTCACACTGAAGGCTTGGCCCTCAGCACAGCCGTGTTTACAGGCGGGGGTCTTCGGGAGATGTTTGGCTTATGGGGGCTCTGACTTTGTGAGTCAGACTGCTCCCTTTCTGGGTTCATAGCTTGATGGGTTTGGAGGAGGGGTGTGTTATAATTCTGAGTGAGTTTTTTTCTCAGGTATTTTGAGATAATAACAAAAAATGATTAATACAGTCCTCTACGGTGAAAAAAGATCATTAGTTGCCAATAGGTCTTCAGGGGGTGCTGTCTTTTTGTCTTTTGACGATCACGGGGGAAGTTAAGTGTTTCAGTAAACAGGAGCTTCCTCACAGCCTGGCCACTCTGAGGCCTGCCTTTGTTCTTTGGCTCCTGCAACCCCAGGAGACCTCAGGGTACCCATTGGAAAACATAAGAGTGAGCAGCCTTTCCCCAGGCAACAGGAAGCAGAAGTGAGTTAGCAGAAGGGAGCATGTGGGGCTGGCTTTTCCTCTTCAAGGCTGCACATCTGATGACTGTCTCTCAGGCTGACGGACCCAGCCCAGAAGTTTCTGCACGTTGGTGAGCCTCTGCTCCTCCCGAGCATGCCGCTTCTCCAGAGCACACTGCTTCTCCCAAGCACACTGCTTCTCCTGAGTACACTGCTTCTCCCAAGCACACTGCTTCTCCCAAGCACACTGCTTCTCCAGAGCTCACTGCTTCTCCAGAGCTCACTGCTTCTCCCGAGTACACTGCTTCTCCAGAGCTCACTGCTTCTCCAGAGCTCACTGCTTCTCCAGAGCTCACTGCTTCTCCCGAGTACACTGCTTCTCTAGAGCTCACTGCTTCTCCCAAGCACACTGCTTCTCCAGAGCTCACTGCTTCTCCAGAGCTCACTGCTTCTCCAAAGCTCACTGCTTCTCCAGAGCTCACTGCTTCTCCTGAGTACACTGCTTCTCTAGAGCTCACTGCTTCTCCCGAGCACACTGCTTCTCCAGAGCTCACTGCTTCTCCCGAGTACACTGCTTCTCCAGAGCTCACTGCTTCTCCCGAGTACACTGCTTCTCTAGAGCTCACTGCTTCTCCCAAGCACACTGCTTCTCCTGAGTACACTGCTTCTCCCAAGCACACTGCTTCTCCAGAGCTCACTGCTTCTCCTGAGCACACTGCTTCTCCTGAGTACACTGCTTCTCCCAAGCACACTGCTTCTCCAGAGCTCACTGCTTCTCCTGAGCACACTGCTTCTCCAGAGCACACTGCTTCTCCTGAGCACACTGCTTCTCCAGAGCACACTGCTTCTCCTGAGCACACTGCTTCTCCTGAGCACATCCAGCCCGGAAAAGGTGCTGCTGAGGTCAAGCTGAGGGCTGCTCTGTGTTTGTTACTCCACATTATACAAAACGGTGGATTTCCAGACTGACCCTTGTCCTGAGAGACTCCATTTTGCAAACAGCGCTTGAGTCCATGCTGAGCGTGAACACAGTGTGACTACACCTGGTGGTCATTGAAACAATTCCATCTTCCTGGCACCATCAGTGAGGCCAAGACTGATGAGTCACTTACCCTAAAAGCAAAAATGATGTCACCTCTACGCTTGTCACAGTAAACATGGTGAACGGAGGCATTAGCATCACACCAGGACCAGGACTGGGAGGCTCCTGGTCACGGCAGATTGAGAAAAGGATGCGCACCCCGACCAGACCCATAGGACACATGTCACGCTTCAGTGGCCAGAGCCTGCTAGCCCGCTTCTGACGGGGATCTGGCAGAGGTGTGTGTAGACCTGGCTGCGGAAGGACTCTGGGACAATACCGCTTTCCTTTTCCCTCCGAATGTAAACGGTTATGCAGTGGATCGAGATGGTCTGAACTGGGAAGATGATGGTCTCCCGTGTGGGGGCCAAGATGCTCAAAAATTTGGAGTAACTGCTTTTCCCACTGCGACTCAGCAACCGCAGAGGCCTCCGAGCTGTTCTCACATGTGCCCTGCGCGCCTGCCTGCCTTCTGCTGGGCTCACTCCCAAATGGAATCAGCTCTGCAGCCGGGGCTCTGCCTTCCCATCGGGCTTTTCAGAGAACCAGTTAGTATTGCCAGAACTGGCAGCTTGCTTTGCTCATTAACAAAGCACTTCCTCCTGGCAACGGGGAGGCAGAAAACATGTCAGTTAATTTGGCCCATTGTTTACTCTGGGCAGGGAAACAAACTGCTGTAGATGGCGTCCAGACAACGAAGACAGTTGTCCAAGTCCCACTGCTAGGTCACCTGGAAAATGAACAGTGAGGACAGAAAACCCATGGACCCCGTTCCTATCAGATTTGTGGGGTGCAGTGCCTTGACCACAAAATCATTCCCATGAGGACGCCCTGGGGAGGTGACTCCACTTGTGTAATCCATAAGTTTGGTCTTTGGAGGTCCAGGGAGGAAGTGGTGGTCTCAGGGGTGGGCATCTCCACACTTGGCAATACGCTTTAATGCTGGGGACATTAACTCCAAATGGGTTGTTTCCGAGAGAGACAGGGATGGTTAGAAATGTTCATTTTTCTTAGTTTCCTTCTGTGATGGTTCTGACCTTTGGGGGCGGGGGATAAACTGGACGTTCAGCTGCAGACATGTCTTAGGCAGATTAAGGTCTTCACTCCATCAAAGCCCAAGAAGCCCTGAGTGCCTCTTTGTGTGACTGACCCAAGCTTCCACTCACAGCGGTAAGCATTTCATCTGCCTCCTCCCCCTCCCAGCAGCGATCGTGCCTCAGCATCTTTTGAAGGATGACGAGGTGCAGGGTGACATTCGTCAGTTCCTCAGAACCCGTGATGCTGGCAGAGGGAGGCCTTCGCAATCAGCCATCAACTCCGAGAAGGCAAGGCCTGCTATTCTTTGGCTCCTGAACAACTTCCAAAGACTTCTGTGCTGAAGGTGGGAGGCGACAGAATCTTCAGGGGGCGTGACAGCTGATGTACTTGACACACCCTTGCCTGGGAAGAGGGACCCTCAACCGAAGAATTGCCTGTATCAGCTGACCTGCGGGGTACGTTTGTGAGGTATTTTCTTCCTTGCTGATGGCTGCAGGAGGGCTCAGCCCACTGTGGGCGGTACCACTCCTAGGCAGATGAGCCTGGGCTGGGTGGAAAAGAAGATGTTGATTGAGCCTGGGGGACAGTCAGCAAGCAGTGATACTCCGTGGTCTCTGCCCCAGGTTCCTTCCCGTGGCTTCTCTCAGCGATGAGCTTTCCCCAGAAGTGTAGGCTGAGGTAAACCTCTTCTTTCCCTAGCTGCGTTTGGTCATGGTGTGTGTCACAGCAACAGACAAGCACACTAGGACAGGAAGTCTGGCCCAGTAAAGGAAACTAGGTCACCCTGGAAGGGGCTCTGTCCCCTCCTCTTTCTGTGTCTCTATCTCCCTGGGTAGTAGTGGTCTTGCAGTGAACTTGTAACAGTGGCCATGCCCCTTGGGCGTGACCTCAGGCTGGAAAGAGGGAAACTTGAGTCCTCACGGCTTCTGTTTGCCAGCTCTTCCTGGTGGGTCAGCCGATCAGGTAGGAATGGTGGAGAAATGCTCCCGCGGTTCTCTGCATTTTTCTGTAAAAGTGTTCCCCAATAAACACCCACTTCTCGTTTTATCTTGGGTCTAGTGAAATAATTCCACCGCCGCCATCATCCCGGTTGCTTTGTGGTGAACGGGTCTCCCCTGCCTCATGCTCTCACCTTGACGTGCGGCTTTGTACGGAAGAGCAGCAAGGCCAAGGGGGATCATGAGCTGAAGCCTCCGAAACTGTGAGCAGAGAGGAGCCTGCCTTGTTTTGTCTCCCTTGGGCGTTGTGTCACCGGAACATGAAGGTGACCAGCAGAGGCCTGCGGTGTCCCTCTGTGATGTTGCCATAGCACCCACCACTCTGAGCACAGAGGACATTGGGCAGACCTGTGCACTAACGCCAGTCCCAGCTCATGTGACCCTAGGGTCTATGTTTATAGTTTTTAAAAGCCCCACCTCTCTCTCTCTCTCTCTCTCTCTCTCTCTCTCTCTCTCTCTCTCTCTCTCTCTCTCTCTCTCTCTCATCTCTTTTCTTCCCTTTCTTTCCCTACACACATTTCACACAGTCAAGATAACACGACTAAAAATTATGCTGTGCTCACTATGAACTCTACAAGGTCAAGTTTTTGGATTGTTCTGCTCTGCTGTCAATCAAGCAGAGGAAAATGCATTCATGTGATAAAGAATTGTGTGTACATACCGACATGTATTGCTGCACGCCATTCACAAATTTGGGTCCAGCTGCTTTCCTCAAATTGATCAGTTTTGAGAGGTGGTCGTAAGCCACGAATTCATTGAAGAATGTCTTGTAACCTATGAGTTTGGCGACCATGAAGCTGTCTTGCCAGTCGACTCCCATCATGAAGGAGAGGGGCATGAAGACGTAGGAGCAAAGGAGCTGCAAGGTGTTGACACCGATTAAACGGTGGTTTGCCTCGGATTCTGCCATGCTGCCCCCTCCCTCCATGACTGGATTGTTCCTGCCTCTCCTGGGCACTGGGAACCCCTTACAACCATCTGCCCATCTTTATCTATCAGGTGTCAAGGCTTGATTCCCATGTAGTGGTGTGAATGGGTACATGACCCTTAAAAAAACCAATGAGCATCTTTCCTAGGACATTACATTAATTCATTCTCTGCGGAGTGAATCAAACTGAGAGGGCATTTGTTGAAAGAGGGGTCAGCCCCTTGGTTCCTTCGTTTTGGATGTCATGCACGGGTCTGCCTGTGATCCTCACCAGATATCAAAATGGCAAGCTGAATACACCTCACAAGCTTCCGGACCAAGTGTTCTGTTGTAGCGCTGGAACTGGGTCATTGGAAACAGCACGTGCTCTTGGTGAGAGGTCAGCAGAGAAGTGTGGGAGGGTGGGGGTGACAGAGATCAGGAGAGAATGACTGCCCCGGGGATCACAGGGGGACAGAAGGCAGCGCAGGGACCGGATGGTGGGGTGACTGAGAGGCGTCTATAGTGAATGAGAGAGCACAACACAGTTGGCTAGGAAAGGCTGCTACATGCTCATGGCTAGTTTTCTGGGGCCTGGCGTTGTGATTTTAAAGAGTGGTTTAAGAGGAAGATGCCACGTGACAGAGCTTGGGTGGAGGGGTTTTTCATTTGGGGAAAAGTGAGTGTGTAACGGAGGGAGGGGAGAGGGGAAATGAGAGAGAGAGGGGAGAGTGAGAGAGGGAGGGAGGGAGACAGAAGAGGTGGGCAGGGCCCTTTAAAAGGGAACATAGTGAATGTGCATAGGTGGTGCTCTTAGCGGCTGCAGCTGAGGGCGTATCCTGTCAGAACCCCAAGGCCTTACTCTGTAGTCCATGGTTGGCCTTGAACTCATGGCAAGCCTCCTATCTTGGCCTCCTAAGTGATGGGGTTAAAGACATGAGCTACCATACCTGGCTTCTAAACTCATTTTTAAAACAGAGATGGTCAGAAACAAAACATGACGGGGTCATACCTCAAAACTCAACTGTGGGTAGTCGAACATGTTTCCGAACCAGGACAGGGCTGAGTTCACAAAAGACAGCAAGGCCAGGAAGGCGATCAGATTCACAGCGATGTTGGCTACCAGGGGGATGGATGAGGATGCACCCTGTGTCGCTGCCTCCAGGAGATTTCTTGAATCACTTTGTCAAGAAATAAGAATTTCCAAAATTACCACGGAGTATCTCTGGACAGATGCCCCGTCGTAGTCGCTGCTCACGAGGTGACCCTTAGACACAGCCTTAGTTAAAGTACTCAGTCTCTTACGGTGTCAAAGTCTTAGAATTGTCACTGTCAGGGGCGGGGATGTGGGACTCCACGGCTGCATTACCTTTTCCTTGGTGGTGGAGATCGAATCCTGGGTTTCATGCATGCTAAGTATACATACCCGTTCCCTCCCCTAACACAATGGTGCTTTTAAAATTGAGGGCATTTATAATAAAAAAAATCAAGAAGTGACAAAAATAGATAAGTTTAAAAACTATCTATCAACAGTAGCTGCCAGGGAATACTTATAAAATACCCTTGCTCTAAAAACTCGCAGCTGAAAGAAAGCCCATTTCGTAACCACTTCATTTGAGACGGAATCACTTTAATACCATTCTAACGCCAGGACGGGCTGTGCTTCCCTTCCGTCATCAGAGACGACTTTGGTATCCCCGGCCCGCACGATTATTAATTTAGGTGGTGTGTCGACTTACCCACTTTCAATTTTCATGGCATTCTTGAGGGTGACTTTGGGCTTTTCTGTTTCAGGCCAGAAGAGTTTGGCCACAGCCAGGGATGCCGGGGCTGACATGACTGAGGCAGTCAGCAGGTGTGTGGATGACACCTGTGGAGAGGGAGGAGGCCGATTCCTTCTGGAATCCGGAAGAACAGCCACTCCATGTGCCCAGTCCTAGGCCTTGGGAGTCAGAACCTAAATCTGGTTGTTTGGGGGTGAGGATTAACCCTGCGTTGTAAGAATTCTCAGGGATTTCTCAGCCCCTCTCTCTGTAGTCTCTCTGGACTTTCCGCTGGTCCCACATTTTTGTCACAGCCTCAGTTCAGATGGGGGGGGTGTGGTGGGAGGGGCATGGAGAAAGGACCTCTGACCATGTGCAGAGAGACGGTCCTTACTCGTCCTCCCTCCTCCCTCCTGAAATCCTTTCTGTCTGCACAGTTAACTCATCCTTTCTCCCTTTGTTGTGTAAATGATTTCGCCTTTCCTCATTCTCTCCTGCCCTACACTGGACTTGACCTTGGTTGTCAACTTGGCTGCATATAATGGTTTGAAAGAAAATGGCCCCACAGGGAGGGGCGCTATCAGGAGACATGGCTTTGTTGCCGTCTTGTTGGAGGAAGTGTGTCACTGCAGAGGTGGACTTTGGGGTCTCATATATGCTCAAGATGCTGCCCAGTTCTCAGACCACTTCCTGTTGCCTACAAGATGTAGGGCTCTCAGCTCCTTCTCCGGCACCACGTCTGCCTGCGAGCCGCCATGTCCCGCCATGACGAAAATGGACTGAACCTCTAAAACTGCATGCCACCCCAATGAAATGTTTTCCTTTGTAAGAGTTGGTCATGGTGTCTCTTCAAGCAATGGAAACCCTAATGAAGACACTGTATCTAGCATGAACTAGAACACAAGGCCCAGGTTGCTCCTGTGAGGGATTTTCTTGATTATTTGAAGCAGGGTGACTCCCACTAACTGTGGACCTCACTTTCAGCCCAGGTAAAAGACATGGAAGCAAACGTTGCCTTTTGCCTGCTTGCTCTCCCTCTCAATGGAGAGTCCATCTGTCCGTCTGCCGCAGCATTCCTCCACTGGTGAAACAGGCACAACCTGTTTCATCTGGCTTCCGACCAGCTGCTTGCCAGGAAGCCTCCAGGCCGTCAGTACCAGATTGGGACTGCGGAGACAGCCAGGCTCACGAACTGGACAACTACTCCCTAGTGTAAGACAGCCATTATTGAACGACCTGGACCATATCCTATAAGCCATTCTAATAATAAATCATATATACATATGTGTACACACACACACACACACACACACACACACCATTCTATCAGCTCTGTTCCTTTAGAGGGTGGATTGCTTATTCTTTTTTTTTTTTCCTTTTTTTGAGACAGGGTTTCTCTGTGGCTTTGGAGGCTGTCCTGGAACTCCCTTGGTAGTCCAGGCTGGCCTCGAACTCACAGAGATCCTCCTGCCTCTGCCTCCCTAGTGCTGGGATTAAAGGCGTGCGCCACCAACCCCGGCTTGGATTGCTTATTCTTATATCAGCCCATGTTTCTTTTTTCACCGTTCCTACTACTGGGTTCTCCCAGCCCTTTGTGAAGATCTGGGATAAATTCATGTATCTCGTAAGAACCCTGATGCAACCCTGCATTGCTAGTCTCCCTGCTGGGTACTGTATCAATGTGGGGCCACGGCATTCCCCAACCTCAAAAAGTAGCCGCCAGCTCTTAGAATGGGCTCTGCATTAGAATTAGGGTTTGTCAAAAAAAAAAAAAAAAGAGGAAAAAGAAAAAGAAAAAATGGAGTGATGCGAGGCTTTGTCCGCTTTGGAGCTGCTTGAGTCTAGGTGTTTGTACGCGCTCGGCGGTTTGTGGTCTCATCACATTCGCTAGCAGGTCAAACTGCAAATCTTCGTGAAGACCCTGACCGGCAAGACCATCACCCTGGAGGTGGAGCCCAGTGACACCATCCAGAATGTGAAGGCCAAGATCCAGGCTAAGGAGGGCACCCACCCCCCCCAGCAGCAACTCATCTTTGCGGGCAAGCAGCTGGAAGATGTCTGCACTCTCTCTGATTACAACATCCTGAAACAGTCTACCTGCACCTGGTCCTCCGCCTCAGAATGGCTATTAATTCTTCAGTCTGCATTCCCAGTGGGCAATGATGGCATTACTCTGCACTATGGCCATTTGCCCCAATTTAAGTTTAGAAATTACAAGTTTCAGTAATAGCTGAACCTCTGTTTAAAAAAGGTTAATAAAGGTTTTGTTGCCTGGTAAGCATAAAAAATAAAATAAAAAATGATGATTAAGTCTCATTCTAAGAAATTCATGTTTAATTATTCCTGGGTGTGTGTTGGGGGGAAGTCCTGTGCATTTGTCAATAAAGCACTGCTGGCCAATAGGAATCTAGATAGGTGGGACTAGGAGTCCAGAAGGACTCTGGGAAGGAGTAACACAGAGTCAAGATGTAATGCCATGGGGTAGGAAGCCCGGAACTATTCTCCGGTAAGAGACATACTTAGATTAACAATTATGGGGTAATTACTTAAGTCAGAGCTAGCCAGTAAGAAACAAGCAAGGCCAACAGCTTCATAATTAATATAGCCTTCTGTGTGTTTATTTGGGACAGATGCGGCTCTAGAACCAGGCTGGCAGGAAAGCTTCTCACAAGGAAAAAGCTTCCCTTTACAGGTGTGTGCCAGACAACTAGTACCTTTAATAATTTCCAATAATAAATAATAAACCTTTAATAAACGAATCAGGTTTATGAGCACTGCTCTGCATTAGAAGCCCTTTCCCAAGGGTCAGGTCAGTGAATTTGGTTTTGATGGTCAAACTATTCGACCCACACAAAACAAAAGAATAGGAGAATCTAGTTTCTGACAAAGCCTTCTAGAAAAATCTAGCAGGGTCTAGATTTGGCTCATGGGATATTGTTTGCTTATCCTTGGTTTAGACCAGAGTTCTCACAACCTTCCTAATGCTGTAACCCTCATGTTGTGACCCCCTCCAACCATAAAATTATTTTCATTGCTATTTGACAACTGTAATTTTGCTACTATTATGAATTGTAATGTAAATATCTGTGTTTTCTAAGGGTCTTAGGTGACCCCTGTGAAAGGATCATTAAACTGCCAAGGGGTTGGGACTCACAGGTTGAGAACTACTGGTTTAGGCTGTCTTTGTGAATGTCAGTAATGGGTTTTGTTTTTCTGTCCAGATGGAAAATTTTAGGCAAGATAACCTTGTCATATAATTAGTCATGGTCAGATGTAATTTTAAGAGTGGCAGGAATACGGAAGAGAAGCCCTCAGTTTCCTCGGGGTCACTGTGTCATGATAATGAGAGGGACATTTTCTTGGTGTCATTTTCCACCAGCAACAAGAAAGAAAAAGAAACAATAAGACAGACGTGGGAGATCGAACATACTTAAGCTAATTATATTCCAAAGGTTCTTACCCCGAAGGAGATGTAGGCACCCAACACGCTTCCAGCGATTGTGGCGAAGCCAGCTGTCATAATGGCATGGAGCTCTGACCTGGTGACGTGCGGTAAGTATGGTTGGACCAGTAGTGGAGACTCTGTCTGGAAACAAACGTTAAACGTTAGCTTTCTGACGCTTAACACCGTAGTCCCTGTTGCAGCTGTTAGAGAGATTCCAAGACCATCTCCAGCAGTCACCAGGAACTCTGGAAATGCAAATTCTCCGCCTGGAATCAGAAACTCTGAGGGTGCGCCCACCCCCGCCCCCACCTCCACTTTGACTCCTTAGGGTCCTTCATTTGAATGTAAAGGGACTGGGGGCAACTTTTGTCATACTTTAACGAGAAGTTTCCTGGTCTCTTTGGACTCTTAGAAGTAAGAAAAGTAGTAACAATAGGAAAGAGATCGAGCGTTGTGTAAGCTAATTATATCCCAAGCAATCTCACCACAGAGAGTATGTGCACCCAAGATGCGTCCAGCATTTGTAGCATGTCCCACACCATTGGTGTCCTGGTCATTTGAACCCTACGTCAGTTTGCATACGTAGTCCTGGGTAGATCTTGTAATATGTGGGTCTATTAAAACAGTCCTCCACCCAGCTTTGGGCGGGATGCTATTGAGGACGTGGGATACTTTCCTGAGGACTGGCCAAGTAACTCCACCTGGTAGTCTGGCCTTACAGACCGGGGTTCCCGAACACCTACAACATTCTGTCTTCCAGATTGATCTTGACAGACTCATACATGTTTTGTGGAAATAGAGGCCATTATAGAAGAAAAGAATAGGCCAGGTACCTATAGGCATTTCATAATTGAGACTGACAGGCCAGGGTATAGTGGAACAGGCTTGAATTTCATTACAGAGGGTAGGCAGCCCGCAGTGTGGGACTCTCCATCAATAACAGCAGCACTTTGGGCGTATTAACCATCAAATTGAGCGCCACAGACGCATGCGTGCAATTTTACAATTTTCTGCTCATTAGTTCTAACTGTTCTGTGAGATTGAGTGTGTTGAGTCTCAATTTATAGACTAAATAGGAGCCCAGTATGCGAGACCTTCTACCCCACAGGTACTAGCAATCATCTCGAAATGGTGCCTTAATTAGTCCTGAGAGATTTTATGACTGTAATTATTATAATTTCAACTCCTAGGGAAAGAAGCATTATCACCACACACACTAAAGACTGCTTCAGGCTAGTGAGCCAGTCTTACCAAGAAGGCTCAGCCTGCCTGGAACACGTGTAAGCCTGGGATTTGGGGGCCACCTATTTTTCTGTGGCACGATTTTTGCTCCAAGTCCACTTTCTTTGGGCAGTGTTGCTGGCAGTGTTCCCACGGCCCCATCGTGTGATCCCCGAGTGTCCTAAGTGGTGCAGCTCATTGCCATTCCTAACCTGCCCCATTCCTTAGGGTTGCTCCAATGTTGAGGGATTACATTTCTTTGTTTAAATGGGCTTTGGGAAAAAGGGGTATTTATTCATCGAATGGGTTAGGGAAGTGAGAATCATAGCGTAAAAGCTTATCTTTGATGAGAAGGAAAACATCTGAAAGCATTCTCTGCAGGCTCAGAAGGTGGATGGCTGAACACATGGGGATGAGGTTGTTCGCACGCCTGTAGGACTGTTGGTGGGGGCTTTTCCATCTTCTTCATTGTCACAGGCATCACAGTGAAGAAGGCACTGTTCACTATCTGCAGCTCAAAGGCAGTGGAATCCATCTGAGATGAACAGCTGCTAGCCTCTACAGAGCTGACCAAAGGCCTCGATGGGTAAAAGGTTTGTGGGGAATGTGTGCATGAGAAGCTCCATGGTTTGATAAAAATAATTGTGTTCTCTCTCTGAGCTTTCAATAACTCAATTCCATACTAACATAACCTTCCTCCCTTTCCCTTTCTCTTTACACACACACACACACACACACACACACACACACACACACATACACACACACACTACTAGGGATTTCTTTTTTTTGTTGTTTTGTTTTTGGGTTTTTGTTTGTTTGTTTTTTGAGACAGGGTTTCTCTGGCTTTGGAGGCTGTCCTGGAACTCACTTTGTAGACCAGGCTGGCCTTGAACTCACAGAGATCCTGCCTCTGCCTCCCAAGTGCTGGGATTAAAGGTGTGTGCCACCACCGCCCTGCTATACTAGGAATTTCTTATCTTATGTTCTTCATTCTACCCTAAAGAGATGATGCACCCATGAGCGCATCCTCCTCTGTTTCCTCATCGGCGACTGCTTTGCTTTGCTTCATTTCTGTTATTGCTACTTACTTGCCCAACAAATATGTTGCCAGCAGCAACGACAGACTCAATGGGAGATGACCCCATAGTGACAAGCATTAACCATCCAACCTAAAGGGAAGAAAAAGACAAAGTCAGCAAAGAACTACTTATAGAGCAAAGGTTTAGCAGTCAGCTAAGAATAGAATCTCAGTTAAGGCACTGCGGTCTCTAAGACCGATAGCAGGTTGGCAATGGGCTGGACATGGGTGAAACTACTCTAGCCACAGAACCAAGCAACTGAGTCTTCCTACTTGTTAAAGTCTGCATCGTTGTGCCTGTCTTTGAGCAATATAGAAATGGTTTCTGTAGGTTAAGTAAGAATAATGGATAAATAACTGCTTGCACGGATGGAAAGCTTTCCTGTGGTCTAGGAATGACTGGGAGCCACAGACCTGGGACCCATCTCTTCTTGGCTCTTTGGAGCAGAGGCTGCCATTCCTGCTATGCTATTGCAGAAGAGGGAACTAAGGCACAGAGAGCCCACAGGAAATACTAAGATGGACGTGACTGAAGGTGTTTCCCTGCTTAGTTCAAATGAGCATGGTTTTTGTTGCTCCATTTTTGTGATGGCTTTGTGGGATAGTTAGATCTAGAGGCTCCCCCACCAAGTGTCTACATACTAAAGGTCTGGTCCTCAGCCCCAGTGTTATTAGGAAGTGGTATCTTTAAGGGGTGGAGCCTAAATGGGAGGCCAGAAGCTGTCAGAAGGCTCCCTTGAGGACATCTGGGGACTCAGTCTCCCTCTGTTTTGCTTTCTGGGCACAAGGCCAGCATTTTGTCCCCCTGACACTCCTTCCTTACTCTGTGTGTGTGTGTGTGTGTGTGTGTGTGTGTGTGTGTGTGTGTGTGTGTGTGTGCCATTATATAACTAGTGCCTGGGGGCCCAGTACCTTTCGGATGACCCATTGCATCAGTCCCACATAGTAGAGCACCGACATCACGGTGCTGAAGAAAACCACGATCGGCAGGACCTGAGGACGGGGTGAGGGCACAAACGAGGTCAGTGCGAGAAGTACCCCGAGTTTCCTATTAGGCTCCTCCCCCCCCCGCCTCCCTCTTGGTCCTAGAGGCATCATAATAGAAGCAACGCCCCTCCGAACTGAAGGCTGCTTCCGTCAACAGTTGTCCTCTGGACAGCCTGCATCTCTGTAATGAGCTGGTTTGAGCGTGTCTCCTAAGGTCCACGTGGTGGATATTTAAGTATCCCCTAAATTCAATGGTGCCGTGTCTGGGATAGAGAATTTGGGGAGTAATTAAGATCGGAGGAAGTCAGGGGCTGGAGAGATGGCTCAGGGTTAAGAGCACTGGCTGCTCTTGTAGAAGACACAATTTTAGCTCCCAGCACCCATGTGGCAACTTAGAACTGCCTGTGACTTCAGCTCCATGAGAGTTTAATGTTCCCTTCTGGTCTCTGTGGGCACCGTCTGCATGTGATGTATATACATACATGCAAACAAGACACGAGTACCCATCAAATAAGATAAATCAAGGAACAAAAAAGATTAGAAGAGGTCATTAAAATCGGTGCCCATAACAGAAGTAATGGCTCCCTTCTTGGAGCCTGCCCCTGCCCTACCTCTCTCCCTTCCCCCCTGTTCCATGGCTAATTGGTCAGAGGCAAGGTGCCAGGAAAACTTGCGCAAGATCTAATTTAGAAAAACCTATTAATAATATCCCTAAAACCACATTTTTGCCTCAGCATTAGTGTTCTTGTCATTTTAACGATAAGGCATAGAAAGTTGTCTGGGATTACCTTAAATGCGAAGAAGTGGTCTGTGTACTTCTCACCGAAGACAAACATAGCTCCAGTATCAGTGTACCCCAGGAAAGTCTGAGAGAGAGAGAGAGAGAGAGAGAGAGAGAGAGAGAGAGAGAGAGAGAGAGAGGTCATTACAAACCATGAACCATTACTACAGGCCACAGACGAACCTGACTCCCTGCAGAGGATATATGAGGGCCAGCAAACTCATTAAGCAAACTTGCAAAGTTAATATTCTCAGTGTTGCTCCTCTAGTGAATGCTGTGAGTGTTTCCGTTTAAATCGTCTCTACACTACAAGTAGACTTCCTGCCATTTCTGACACTTAATCTGACTTGTTCTGACTGGGGTCATCGGCTCCCATAAGCCATGGGTGTTATGAGGATGACCCTATTACCACCAGGTGCAGAGGAAGGCCTGTTCTCTATTTTGGGGAACCATCTCAGAAGTTGGGCAGGATGATGGGGGATAAGGGCGTGGTTCATGGGTGACACAGGTAGGGGGCAGTGGCAGGCTTAATCAACTACATAGATGAACATATTTGATGCAAGCAGCAAGCCTAATTTGCACTATGAAATTAAAATAAGGGTACAATATTACAGATAAATTGCCTTCTTAAAAAATGGCCTGAGGGCTACATCCAAATATTAAAAGTAGAAGAATGAAAAGAATTTTTTTTTGACAAGGACTCATGATGCTCCGATTGGCTTCTCACTGGCATTGTAGCCAAGGCTGGATTTGAATTCCTGACCTTCTGTTCCAGCTTGCCCAACTGTCTTTTGAGCCGCTCACCTGAACTTGTTTTCCCAGCCAATCAAAAGCAACAAATCCAGGATTAGTCCTCAGAATTAAGAGTCCAAGAAGAAACTGTAATCCAATTCCCCAAAAGACAGGCCTCCAGTAAACCTGCGAAGAAAGATGGAGGTTGTTTCATATTGTGCTAACTTCACCATTTTAATGAGGCATAAACGAACAGTAAAACATTGGGCACTTCAGAGACTAAGCTTTCAGAAATGGCCACGGACTCCTTTTGTTTCTAGTTACCTTATTAGGATGTTAATGGTGACCTCAACGTAGATGTCCAAGAGGCCACTTGTCCCCTTAGGAACATTTTCACATGTGGCAGGGGAAGCCCAAACAGCTAGGAGCAGGGGCTTTTCCCAATTGGTCAAATTTGTTCTTTGACAATTTCATATGCGTACATAATCATGCTGCTACTCTCACTCGCTAGTCCTGCCTATCTCTCCCACCTTGTCTATCCTGCTTATCCTTGTAGATCTCTTTCTGACGCTCCTGTCTATTTGCTTTGTTTCATAACTCACTGAGTTCAAACAGGGTCATCTGTGTGACCATGAACTTGGAGCTATCCATTGAGTCTGGTGGGTTCAGCAGTAGACACACAAATGAAGACAATGACCTTGACTCTGCCAGGATTTATGAGTAGTCTGTAGTAATTCTGTGACTGTTGGTTTTAATCATGAATTTGACACACATAAAACTCTCTGGGAAGAGTCTCAATGAAGGGTCAGGTTGACTTGTGGCCAGGGATTATCTTTATTACACTAATTGAAGTGGGAAGATTTTGCGTACTGTGGGTGGCACCATTCCCTACACAGGCTCTCCTGAACTGTGTAAGGGTAGAGATGGGAACTGAGCTTAGGCATGAGTCCACTGATTTATTGCCCTCTTCTCTTGACTGTGAATACTATGACTAGCTGCTGTAAACCCTTTCTCCCTGAAGTTAATTTTGTCGGGGGTATTTTGTCAAAACAACAAGAAACGACACTAAGATAGGCCCTGTACAAGTAAACTCAATGCAATGGCTGTGTCATGCCGAGGATGGCATTTCAAAGCCTTTCTCCCTATCTCTGGGTCCTCCATTCCTCTTGCACTCTCTTCCACAGAGTTCTCTGAGCCTCAGAGGGGATGTTATAAAAGTCTTATTTAGAGCTGGACACTCAGCACCATGGGCAGCTGCAAGTCTGCATTCACCTATCACTGAATACCAAGAGAGACTTCAGACAACCTTTAGATAGAGATGTTCTGTAGTATGTAGTATGTATGTATGCATGTACATATGCATGCATGTATGTATGTTTGCATGTATGCATGTATATCAGGGCTACACCCACTCTTTATAAACCTTGGTGCAAAATCTGAGAAAGTATGTTGCTAAGAAGTCCTGAGAAATGACTTGGAAACAAAGCATCATGTCTGAGACACAAATTGTAAATGTTACATGTACAATTATTACTCCACTTGGAAAATGGAAAAGTAGAAATTGATTTTTCTGTGTTCAAAGTTTGTTTATCTGACAATTTGTAAGTGAATTAGATGAAATCCGGCCCAGCTGAGGGACTCTCGTTCCGCAATAACGGGAGCAATGACCTCTAACGCAGACCTAGGATGACGAGAAATGGACTGTCATCTACGTTTATCTCAGAGCAGAAACGAGTGACCTGGAAATGGGGGACTGATGGCACAGAGAATGGAGGTGGTCAACTGAGCAGGGCAAATAACTTTCATTGTATCAGGTCGACTTGGTCTCTGATAAGTGCTTTTTCCGTGGGTCGTCCTTTTAGCCAGAAAGGACTTCTACAGCTTGCATTGTGATTTGCCAGGTAAAAGCTTTTAGTCTCAGAATTCATACCCATCTCATGGGCTGATTTAAAAAAAAGGAGGGGGCGAGAATTGGATGCAACAGGGGAAGGGCGTATAAGGACAGATTTTGAGAATGAAAAAGCCCAAATCATCAACAGGATTTTTGTAAAGGGATTGAAGGCTGGAGACATAGCTCTGTTGGCAGAGGGCTTCATTAGCGTGTGCAGACCCTCATATCCCGTCCCCAGGCCCCTACCCTGGGTGCTGTGGCACATGCGTTGAATTCCAGCCCTGAGGAGACAGGAGGATCAGAAGGTCAAGGTTATCCCTGAGAGAGTTTGAGGCTAGCCTGGGGTACATAAGTTCCTGTCTCCAAAATGAAGAAGCACAGGACTGAATATAAAATGGATCAAAGGGAATGACTTCTCCTGTGTGTTGGCAGTAAAGGAAAGTTTTACTTGTGTAACTGGAAACTAGTAGAAACAAAACAGCTCAGATGAGACGCACCCTCGCCACCTTAAGGACTCGCATGAGGGTAGAAAATTTTGCACTGTTAGATTCTTTCAGAGTCACTGTTTTGGAGTCTTGCCCACCCCCCCTTCCAGAGACCAGTCCGTACTTACTCTGGTTGGATGCTTGGAAAAGAGAAATAACAGGATAATGTACATTATGAGTCCACCGAAGGATACCAGCTGCTGTTTGCCCAATCTGGCAGTGTCGAGGATCAACCAGAAAATAACCGCCAGGATCAGGGAGCTCCATATCACCCTGTGAGAACAGAAGGGAGGGGCTGCTGTCCTTTTTTTGGTGAGAACTTGAGTAGCATGGTGAGGTTTACACTAACAGATGAAAACGGATAACCGGACAGCGGGCTGCAGAACCAGGAAGCTGCGCCTCCCTCAGCTGTGGCTATGGTGACACACGTCCCTCTTGCCTTCCAGCTCAGGCCCTCACAAGTTCAGAGGCTCACACATAAACATCAGAGAGGAGAATGGGTGTTTGCACAAGAGTCTCGCCTCTGTTTAAAGGGTCTTTGAGAGACACGTCTTCCTCGGTCCTCTTTAGTCCCAGCACTCGGGAGGCAGAGGCAGGAGGATCTCTGTGAGTTTGAGACCAGCCTGGTCTACAAGAGCGAGTTCCAGGTCAGTCTCCAAAGTCACAGAAAAACCCTGTCCCAACCACTGCCTCTCCCAAAAAAGAGCATGTACTTTCTGTATTTGGGGGACCTCAGCAGAGCCGAATCAGACTTTGGGTCCTGTCTGGTGGACATGATAGGTGACTCGTGGCTCCCATGGCAATGAGGAAGGCCATTGTGTGGCTATCCTGGTGAACCAGACCAAAGATGGATGAAGCATCCAGGGTAGCCCATATGGTTCTCAATGGAGAGAACTAGGCCTGTGAACTACCCAATAAGGCTATCTCTAAGAGGAGGAGATCCCACAGTGAGACGTCAAAGAAAAGCCCAGGGGGGTCATTGTAGGATGTTGCTTCCTTTAGCGGGGGAGTCAGGTCCCCAGGAACCAGTCCCATTCCTAGAGCCCGAAGTCCCTTCCGTGTCCTCATCTTGGCACTGGCTTTCAGGCAAGCCTAGAATCAGGCCACAGGGAGAAAGAAAAGACGGGGCGTTTATCTGAATCTTCTCCAGCCAGGGATGGAAGGAACATCTTAAGTTGCAACTGGGCCTGTAGTCACGGGGTCTCTAGCTAAGGGTAAGCAGAGAGGTCACTGACTTTTACATGTTTATATAACATGGATGATAGATGTTTCCCACTAAATAGAATGGGATAAGTAAAGGAAAAATGTCATGGTTTTAGTGCATGGCTCACACTGAAAACTTGTGTGCTGGGTCTTCCTGGGTTTTTCTTTGTTTGGTTTTTTTTTTTTTTTTTGACACAGGGTTTCTCTGTGTGGACCTGACTATCCTGGTAATCACTTTGTAGATCGGGCTGGCTTTGAACTCATAGATCTGCCTGCCTTCCCAGTGCTGGGATTAAAGTTGTGTGCCACCACTGCCTAGCAAGAGCTAGTTTTTTAAGGAGCAAAAGGCATAGAAAGAAATGAGAGGAAATGAAAACCTAATCTAAAAAAATTATTGAATTCAATAGCCAATAAAGAAATGCAAATGATGGGACACTAGTTGGTCCAACTTAAAATATAAAAATAATATTAATGTTCATTTTGCACTGAAAACACACACACAATACCCCAAACAAAACCCTGAGTTATCATCTCATCTTGGTTTTCATTTCCTATTTAAAAACTATAGATAATAATAATAATAATAATAATAATAAATAAGTGAAATAAAACATATTCAAGATTGAATGCAATCCATGATTTCTGTTTTGTAAAAGAATTTAATGAGATTATGCAGGTTGGGAAATGCAAGCTCACTTTGCTATCCGTCTTTTCTGTTTTGTACTTATAAACTGATCTTTATTTATTATTATTATTATTATTACTTTTTTGGTTTTTCAAGACAGGGTTTCTCTGTGGCTTTGGAGCCTGTCCTGGAACTAGCTCTTGTAGACCAGGCTGGTCTCAAACTCACTGAGATCTGCCTGCCTCTGCCTCCCGAGTGCAGGGATTAAAGGCCCAGCTGTAAACCGATCTTTAAGTCAGAACTGAAAACAGACAGCACTGTGCAGCTCTTCTCCGACCTTGGGCAAGACAGACATTACTGGCCGATCATGATCTCATCCTACCGACAAGGTAGAAAGAGAGTCAAGCCATCCCTGCATAACTAGAACGCTGCATTGCCCTGTTAAATTTTAGTAAGTAGATATCTAGGCACCCCTCTAGTACGGACATCAAGATAAGCAGATCATCTCTGGACATTTGCCATTGAATCAAGGGGCTTGCTGGTATCCTTGAGTCACTCCACATGGCCCATTATCTCACCCGGGTCTTCACTTCTTGTTTGTCAAATGGAGGCGTTATAACAGCTGCTCTCGGGGTTATTTCTAGCATCAATATCCCACAAGCGAGGATGGAATTTTAGAACACATTTTTTTTGCAACGGTGTCAGAGACAGCCAACATTTCCTCCACTGCGGTAAGGGGAAAGGGGGTCATTTACCATTTCAGCCAGAACCAATGCCTGTTGAGAAGTCTTCTGCCTGGAGTCAGGAGCTCATCGATTCGGTGCTCATATCTGGCCATCAAGTGGTCCCAGATTACGAAGAAGATGGCAACCACGGTGATGACAAAAAGAGGCAGGGCTCTGTGGAAGTTTAGCACGCAGGCTGCAATCACCAGAGCCAGGAAACCTGTCCAGGAGGCAAATCCAGATGGTTAACGTTACCAAACCAGTGGTCCTGGACTTCCAGCCTGGGTCTCACTTAGATGAGGGACGGCTTCATCAAGCACCCATCGGATGCAGGGGGGCTTTGGTTTAGGCACCGATTTCTTTACCTGAGCCTTCTGCTTTTCTTACAAACATGTCTCTAAGACGGAGAAAGGATGTTGTCTGTTTGTTCTTTCTCTTTTACAGTACCCTCTCAGCTCTTGAACCTGACACTTGGCCACTGTGGCTCCAATTAAAGAACAGGTTCCAGGATAAGAACACCAGATGTGGTGGGCGCACACCTTTAATCCCAGTTTTTTAAAGAACAGGTTCCAGGATAAGAACACCAGATGTGGTGGGCACACACCTTTAATCCCAGTTTTTGGGATTTCGCCAGATCTGTGTGAGCTCAAGGCCAGCCTGGTGTACATAATGAGTTACAGGACTGCAAAGGTTATGCAGTGAGACCCTGTCTCAATAAAATAAAATAAAGTTTCTTATCCTGAACCCTCAACAAACAATGGCTCACAGGTTGCCTGACTTGCTACTAGGAGGGTGGAAAAACTCAGTGGCATTTGCTGTGTGTACTTGTACCCTCCGGTTAAGTAGTATTGCAATGTGGCTATGCCTTCCTACTTCCTTGTTATCTGCAGTTGTATTTTTGTTACAATGGCCTGATAGAGGGAAGATGAGCAACCCTTACTGTTCTGTCCCAGCAGTTTGAACATGAGCTCAGCTCTCGGCTTTGGCAGTGTAGCATTCTTATACAAATGCCTATGGGCTCATGGGAAGGTTCGCATTTTATAGACAATGTTTTTTTTTTCTTTTTTTGGCAATGCACTTTGAAGACAGAAAACCAGGGTACATTCTCGCTAGGCTAAAGTGTGGTCCAGAAGGTCCTGGATCTCACCTTGTATTCATTCCCACAATTAATTTTTGTTGCTGTTTAACCTTGTGTTGTTTGTTGCAAAGTCAGCCAGTGGCCCAAGGATCCTGGATTTGCATTAGCCAATGTGCTTCCTCTGTAAACGTCACAATAACAAGGGCTCTCTGGGCCCCGCCAGTAAGGCAGTGCTATGGTCTGAATGTATCCCCCTTAAGTCTGTGTGTTGGAAACTTAATGCCCACATTCATATAGTGATAGTAGCAGAGGCAGGGCCTCAAGAGGCAGTAGGAATTGGATGAGGTCCTGAGGGTGGGACCAGCATGGTGTCACTAGTGGCTTTGTGAAGAGACACAGAGACGTGGGTGAGCCTGTGCTGTCTCATGCTGCAACGCTCCCTCCTTGCGGTGATGGAGTAGAAGGCCCTCACCAGTGCTGGCGGCATCTTGATCCTGGACTCTGTTCCAGGACCTGAGAAACCTTAAGAATGAGTACCGTAGTATCCAGTTACGGCAACAGAAAATGGACTGAGTCGGGAGACGACTCAAAAGCTAAAATTCTGCTTGGTTTTATGAACAAGGCAGGCAAGCAATCTGTGTAGGCTTTCCCGCTGGGGCTTGCTGATCAGCTTCCCTGCTTCTCTGGGTGAGTGAGTGAGGTCCAGGGGAAGGGGCAATCTCTCTCTGTACACAGAAGGTAACACTTAAAAGATCCCGAGAGCCGGGCGTTGGTGGCGCACGCGTTTAATCCCAGCACTCGGGAGCCAGAGGCAGGCGGATCTCTGTGAGTTCAAGGCCAGCCTGGTCTACAGAGTGAGTTCCAGGACAAGCTCCAAAACAATACAGAGAAACCTGTCTTGAAAAACCAAAAAAAAAAAAAAAAAAAAGATCCCGAGAAAAGACAACAGCATTCCCACGGCCTCTTCGTACTCACCAGTCAATAAAATGCCCCCGATGACGCGTCGAAGAATGATTCTGTGCTTTCTACAAAACTCACAAACCGCATCATACTTTCTTTCCAAACATCTGCAACGTAAGAGCAAAAGGCCCACAGGGTAAACACCCAAACACGGGATATCCGGGTGCGAAGCCTGGGCTAGGCTTTGTAAGCAACGCAAACGGGTTTCTGAAGCCATGTCTCAAAAACCGATACAGAACATCAGTTTCGACATTGGCCGCAACATGGATTAACCATTGGATGAGTGTGCCACACTCTAAGGGGGAGAGCAGAAAGGGGATGGGTAACCATTACATCACCACCAGGCATATAACCACTAAACCACAGAAAGGGCAGAGGCGGGAATTCTGGCTAGAAGACTCGCAGGGTACCGTCACCGTGGGTGGTGTTCCTGATTAGGAGTGCGTGTGAAAACCCTGTGCTGAGAATCTGGCATGCCACTCTAGAAGATGCCAGGTGAGTCCAAGTGCGGTAAAGATTAAGTGTCTCAGGGTCTAGTTCGGGAAAAGACAATAATGCATGGCCTTCAGGGGAGGAGATGGTGGTTTGCTTTGCTTTCAAAGCAGTGCTGGTAAAGAGGCACTTTTAACAGACCCTCCATCCGCGGCGCATCGACTTTACCAGAGCTTTCAGTGGCAGAGACCGCGTGTAGTTCGCCACAGCAATCTGACCCTACAATGCAAAGTCCCTGGTGTAGAGGACACTTCGTTCACTTGGTTCTCTAGGCTCAACAATCCTCAACCCGCGGTGATTGCTTCAGTACCATGAATACACAGTGAAACCCGGGGACACGTGACTTCTCAAGGGCCGTCTCCAGCCCCCTGGACCAGAGCCTCCTGGAGCAAATGAAGGATGGGGCTTGGCAAATGTTCTTGGTGGAGCACGGGTACCAAGATCTCTCAGCCCTGACTCTAACCGCTGTGGGGAGACATTGTTCTGAGCCATAAGAATAAAAGTTCTGCCGGGTGGTGGTGGTGCACACCTTTAATCCCAGCACTCGGGAGGCAGAGGCAGGCGGATCTCTGTGAGTTCGAGGCCAGGCTGGACCGACAGCCTCCAAAACAATAGAGAAACCCTGTCTCGTAAAACCAAAAAAAAAAAAAAAAAAAAAAAGAATAAAAGTTCCCCAGAGCTGGGTGCTCGGTGGTGACAGAGCACACTACTCCTGAAGGAGACCTGGCCGTGGCTCCTGGTACCCACACGGTGGCTCACACTGATCTATAGTTCCCGCTTCAAGGGAGCTGATGGCCTCTTCTGGCCTCCACTGGCACCAGATACGTGCATGGTGAGCAGACACGTATACACTAAAAGATAGGGGAATATTTAAAAGTTCTTTAGAGATACAGAAGTTTAAATAAAATGTTACATAGGGATTTAGATCATGGGCCCCTGTATTATGATACAAGTCTCAGGTTCCGGGCCATTTGCTCTCAAGTGGACCAACTTTGGGTAGGTCACTTCTTCAAGCTTCATTTTACTAACCCAAAATCCAGACAATAATACTGCCTCCACCAGGAATGGTGGCTCACACCCATAACCCTAGCATCTGAGAGCAGGCAAGAGGATGGTAATGGCAAATTCAAGGTTACACCTGCTGTGTCTCCTGTCTTAGGTGATTATAAAAACTAGGACCCATCTAAGGCTTCAAGATAAGAAAAGCAGCAGCTTAAAATTTTTCGTTACACTTCTGTATTTTGCGTGTGTGTGTGTGTGTGTGTGTGTGTGTGTGTGTGTGTGACACAGAACAAGTGCAGAAATCTGAGGACAACTTTTAATAGTTGGTCCTCTGGTCCTCTCTTTCCAACAGGTAGGTCCTGGGGGTTGCAGGCAGATCACCAGGTCTGGGAGCAGGTGTCTTCACCCACTGAGCCACGGCCCTGGGCTAGTTTCCTGAGACTTAATGTGGGTTTCAAGAAATCAATTGCTATTGATTGATGTGGAAAAGATGAATTGATATCCTTGTGTGTGGGTTGGAGCCACTAGTTAGCAATTCATGCCTTTAATGAGAAGACTGTCCTGGGTGAACCTGGAAACAAACACTGGGTTCCTAGAGCAGCCTCCTTTTGACCTGACCACATCTGTCACCCCCAAAGGCCATCCATTTTTTTCCAAGTGGTGGTGGGTGGGTGGGGTGACAATTTCTAATGAAGCATAGTGAGATAATTGAGAAGAGAATAAAGCAAAACGACACCACATGGGATAAAACACACAGGGGGTCGATGCTGTGTCCCTGGCTTAAGGACTGTACCCCTTTGGATGCTCATCTTGGTCATCATCCTCCACGTCTTCTTTGCTTCCTGGAGACTCCTGCTCAATCGTGATCTGACTGTCACCCTGGAGATCAAACATTGGGACAGGGAGAACAATGAGAATCTGGGTACCGTGGACCCTGGGCTCCTCAGCTCAGCGTCCAGGCAAGTCCTTTTAAAATTGTTGTGCAAGAAATGCACTGCATGGACATTTTTTCCCTCTTACAATCACAAAGAAATTCAGGATCACACATATGATCTCTGTCCTCCCTGGGGAGCCTCCTCAGGTAGCACCGCTCCCCCCAATCATCACTTTTTTTTTGTTATTTTTGAAAATCGGAACATGTTTGCATTTCTGATTTTGTTCCTGTTTCTGCTGTGGTCACTCAACAGCAGACACAGCTCTGGTTTGGGGAAGGGCCAAATGAAGTTAGTAGCCAGGCTGTGTCATTCTCCCTCTGCACTGAACCAGCTTATAGCCAGAGTAGTGAAACCAAACCGAGGCTTGCAGGTATGAACACCCGTCTCATCCTTCAAGAGCTGACAGACGCCTCTCAGGGTCTCAGGGGCGTCACCCTCGTCCCCATGGGTGCACACGTGCACACGAGCCACTTTCCGTGGACAGCTTTTCTGGAAACAGTGTGAGCTTTCTCCCAAATATCCATGACCTATCCTGTTCCCAGACTGTCTCCCTCTCTCCACTCCACAATGAATCTTCGGCTGGTGAAGTTGGCCGTTGTAGCTGGGACCATGCAGGTGCGTCTCGGCTCTGGACACACACTGGCAGGCATAATGCTGGGGCTTCTGCTTGCTGCCACACACGGGGTGGCCTTTGCCCCTCTGCACTTAACACAGAGATAGATCATTTCTGACCCAGGAAGATACCAAGGCCACGTAACTCATCAAGGACTATTCCCCTTCTGCCTCCTGCCACCTTTGTTTCCAGAGTGGTCCTCAGGAACTAGGAAGGCAGGAACCACAGGAAGAGAGGCTGGGTCCAACCAAGTTCCAGATGCCGCAGTTGGCCATCTATGTCTTCTTTTAAAGACAGGCTTACTTATTTTTATTTTAAGCATGTAAACGTTCTGCCTGTTTGTGTGTCACATGCATGCAGTGCCTACAGGGGCCAAAAGGAGGCATCAGATCCCACTGAAGTTATAGATGGAAATGGCAACCGGATACCCTCTGCAAGAGCAGCCAGTGCTCTTAACAGCTGAGCCATCTGTCCAGCCCCTTATCCGTTTATTTCTACCTGACATCTAGCTTGGCCTATAACTTGGTAAACATTTGATTTAAATGATTATGATGTTCTGTTGTCAACGTGTCCTAAGCTACCTACCACCTATGGGATGCCTTCTGTTTAATTTAAGAAGGACACCAAAATTACCCTTAACCTCCATGATCACGCTATTTTCATTTTGTGGGTTTTATTCCTGTAGAGAACCCCGACTAACACAAGGGTCGTTTTCTGGAGTGCTCCATCTACGTTTGGATAAAGGGATAACAGCAGACCTCCGCTGCTGTAGTGTTGTACAGAATGGTTTCAGTGCCATAAAAGTTCCCTCTGCTCACCCCACTTTCTCCCTAAGCCCTGGAAACCACTGTCCCTCCACTCCTCTACGGCTTTGCCGTTTCCAGGGTGATGCCGTTGGGTGTGGTATGGGCGTGTCCCTGTCTTAAACTGGCCTCTCTCACTCCGTAACCCGCACCTACAGCTCCTCTAGGTCTTCTCACCACCGTTCCCATAACTTCCTCGTTTGTTTCTAGTGCTGAAAAACATTGGATTATCAGATTTACTCATGGGTGTCTGGGCTGCTTCCAAGGGGGGGGGGTTGCCAATTACGATTAAAAACTGCTGTAAGCGTCCGGGGGGCGGTTTTCACGAGGATAGGTTTGCTTGCTGGGGAACACGGTGTTGACAAAAAACTTTGCACAATGTATTAAATGAGTAGTAAGTCAGATGGACAGTGTGACCCCAACATTGACATGTACAACGGTGTATTCGCATAAACACAGGCTACGTTCCAAGGTACACCAGTTCTCTCCCCTTGGATGAAAAAACAATGTTTAGCTTCCAGATTTGCTACAATAACCTTTCCAGTTTTAGGTACTTGGGACTACGTTTCAAGGGTGATCTACACGAGTAATTACTCACTTTCCTTTTTTGCAGCAACAGAAGAAATTCTTCCTAAATCTAACAGCACAGGGTTCCTTGACAGATGGGGTGCCCCGCCTGTCATCCTACCACCGGGATTGGAGAAGTCAAGAGGGTGGGTGGATCAGGAGTTCAAGGTCATCCTCTGTTGCATACTGAGTTTGAAGCTAGCTTGGGTCACATGAGACCCTGTTGCCCCCAAACAAACAATAATTAAAAAAATAACAACAGCAAAATAAAAAACAATAAACACCCCAACCCCAAACAAAAAGACTTGAGCAAGCTAAAGTCCTGTGAGGGACTCTTGGGCCCCACGGGGCCAAGGGAGGGGCATCTCACATGCTCCCATTCAAGTTAACATTCAGGTGCTTTCCTTTTTCTGCCAGGAGGTCTCACCCCAGGCTGGCCCTGCTCCTGCCTCTGCCCCCTGAGTAGGGGGGGGAAGGGGGAGGGGGGAAGGGGAGAGGCTACAAGGACGAACGGCCAGGCTGGCCCAAGACTGGGTTTTTTGCCTGGGGCTGGTTTCCCTTTCAGGGAACTCCGAGACCTTGAAAGCGAAATCTTGTTGTGTGTGCTTTCTGGCCTACCCTGCCTTAGACACACTAACAACACTCCATTCACTGGCAGCAGTGTCACCATGGCAACAGTTCCTCAACCATCCTCCTCCGCATCTGCCCCACCTGCTTGGCATTTCCCTGTTCCCCGCCGCTGCTGCTCCGTACAACTCTGCTCCTGGCTGCGCTGTTTCCTGGTGCGTCCTGCCCTTCCAGGCCTTCGTCCTAAGAACAAAGCAGAAAGAAAAAGAATACGGGAGTCAGAGCCCAGACACAGCCGTCCCTTCAGTGAAGGTTCCAGGAAGGGTTGTGGAAAGTGGCTGGATGAAGGCTTCGGGCTTCGGTATTCCCACGAGGCACCCGATTCAAGGAGCTGCCGTGGGCTCCTAAGGAAAGGGATGGATTTTGCTTTGCTTTGCTTTGCTCCCGTGGGATGATCCACACGCTGCACACTGAGGAAGGACAACAGCTTCCCACCTTCGGCCCTGACTGCAGAGCCAGTACCAGGGGCCCCGCGAGGGGACCTAAGCCAGGGCAAGTCAGTCACCTAGCTGAGGGACCACCCCTCGGGAAGGCAGATCCACCTTTAAGTCACGCTCAAGCGATAGGAGAAATGATTATCCTAATAAGGCAATGTACTTTTCCCTCCCAGAATTCCTGGCTCCAGTGTGGACACGTACTACGTGGTGAGCCCCAACTCTGCAGCTTCCTAAGTGTGAGCCATTCTGAGAGGCGAAACCGTCCCTTTCTTCCCATCTCCTCTGCTCACGGCTTCCCACACACCGGGCTTTCTTTCTCTAAAGTTCGCTTCTCTGCAGTGTGGCTGTTTGTCCCCATGCGGCTCACTTCATGCGCCTTCACTCAGCCGGCATGGCTTCTCTCTCTCTCCTGGGTGGATGCCGACTTTTACAGTTGGGTGTACCAGGTCCCAGGGCTTCGAACTCTAATAAAACTGTCCTAATGTCTGTTCTTTTTTTTTTTTTTTTTGTTTTTGTTTTTGTTTTTCGAGACAGGGTTTCTCTGTATTGTTTTGGAGGCTGTCCTGGAACTCACTTTGTAGACCAGGCTGGCCTCAAATTCAGAGATCCGCCTACCTCTGCCTCCCGAGTGCTGGGATTAAAGGCGTGCACCACCAATGCCTGGCTCTAATGTCTGTTCTTAAATAATCCTCCCTCTCTCCCTCCCTCCGTTCTATCCTTCTTCCTCTGTTCTCACTATGTAGCCCTGGCTGGCCTACAACTTGCTTTGTAACCCAAGCTGACTTTGAACTCACAGACATCCACCTGCCTCTGTCTCTAGAGTGCTAGGATAAAAGGCATCTGATACCACTCCCATCTTTAAATTCTTGTAAGGAGACTGAGATGCCAGGAGGACACCCCAATTTCCCTGTAATGTGTGGCGCCTCTGGTGGGGATCTCAGGAATGCCCAGTAACGGTATAGGAGGGAATGAAATGTGTACACGAGGAATGGCAAGAGGTCAGAGCAGTGGGAAGACTTCCACAGGGGCCCTCCGGACGAACAGCTCCTTCCGAGACTGAGGAGAGAGAGCCTTCCCTCAGCACGCTGACTTTCCCCTGGACCTCGGGTTTCACCTGCTTGGAGTTTCGTGGCCATTGTTGTTCCTTTTTATTTCTAGCTGCGTGTGACACTCGGCAGGTTGTATCGTTCTAAACTTTAGTTGTCCTGTCCGTATAACTGTTTTTCTTGCTGGCTGCTTCCTCTGGAGGGGCCTCAGGTCGGTTTTCTTTCTTTTTAAGTGTCAGCCTTCGATGCTGGTCACTCCTGCCACCTGCTGGCGGCATCTGAGATCTTTGATGAAGGACCCAGTGTGTGGGTGTCAGTGATCCTATCTGGGGGTGGCGTGCATGCTGCTTTGCACGCTCGCAGAGAGAGAACCCCGAATGGTTTCTCCCTTGTGTGCTGGGAATGCTCTATTCAGCGGACTCGCTCCTTGGTCTTTATGTTTCCAAGAAGAAAAGCGCCTCCCACTCAGGGATTTAAAACAGACATAAGGGGTTATTGTGGGTGTGGGTGGGTGGTGGGGGGAAAATGACCAGCTTTTCTCTTCCTCTTTGGAACCGTGGGTTATAACAGGCTTCTAACCACTTGTTAGCCACCATTTCTTTCTGTCTAATAAGTCAGACTACCGATCCCTTTGTTTCTCACACCTGTAAGCATGCCTGTTCTCAGGGTAGAAACTTCCAGGACACTGGATGGGGAAGCCGTAGAACCACATGCGTGTTTCAAGGCAGTGACGTGGGGGCTGGAAACACTCTACATATAAACAAATTTCAAAATGTGTTTAAGGTGTTAGAGAGCTAATATCTCAGTAAACACATTCCTGACAGAGCTGATATCCATCATCTACTAACGGTTGTACCGGCTGGTTCTGTGTGTCAATCTGACACAAGCTAGCGTCATCAGAGAGGAAGGAGCCTCAGTTGAGGACATGCCTCCACGAGACCCATGTGTAAGGCGTTTTCTCAGTTAGTGATCAATGGGGGCAGGTCCAGCCCACTGTGGGGCCATCCCTGGGCTGCTGGTCCTGGGTTCTATAAGAAAGCAGGCTGAGCAAGCCGTGAGCCTGGTTCCTCAGTGGCCTCTGCATCAGCTTCTGCCTCTAGGTTCCAGCCCTGCTTGAGTTCCTGTCCTGACTTCCTTCAGCGGTGAGCAGAGCCGTGAAAGTGTAAACTGAATAAACCCTGGCCTCCCCAAGTTGCTTTTTGGTCATGGTGTTTCATCCCAGCAATAAAAACCCATAACTAAGACAACTGTAAAAAATAAAAAATAAAAAAAGGAACAACAATGACAACAAAACTGTAAGCAAAAAACCCCGAGTTCCCGGGGAAAGTTAGTGTATTGAGGGAATGCTCTCTGCTTGGTCTCAATTCCCTCAGCCCCACTGACATCCCTCCCCTCCCCCACTTATTGCATCTTTAAATTAAGAAACATTTATTTTAAAAGTTTTCCAGGCATGGTGGTGGCACACACCTTTAACCCCAGCAGGGAGACAGAGACCGACCGACAGGTGGCTGTCTATGAGTTCAAGGCCAGCCTGGTCTACGTAGTGAGTTCCAGGACAGCCAGGGCTACACAGTTCGATGCTATTTCAAAAATGTATCTATCATCCACATGAGTGATTTTCTTCATGCGTGTGTGTGCGCGTCACGTATGTATGCAGTGCTCATGGAGGCCAGAAGAGGGCCTCAGATCCGAGGAACTGGAGGTGCTTGGACACCGAATGATCCCTCTGCAAGAGCAGCCAGGGTGCTTAGCCTCTGGGCCGTGTCCGCAGCCCCGAGGAAACAGTAGTACATGGGCATGTCTGTGAGCACAGGAGCCCCTTCCCTTCATTCCCACACAGTGAGAAGGCTTGGTTGTGCCTGTGGAGCTGTCCACACTACAGTTTGGGAAGCAAGCTAGCTTGAGAAGGGCAAGCACGTCCGGGAGCGCGGGCTTCAGCCCTGTGATCATTTGCACTGTGGTCATTTAGAGCCTTAAACAGTAAGTGAACGGTTTGAGCATTCTTCTTAGCCGTCTAAAATCCTGTCTCACGGTTTCCTCTAACGGGGCTGCTTTTCCCACTACAGTTCCTACATCCTGGTTATATTTGCGAGAGCTGCATGGCTTTCCAACACCGGCGTGTGGCTGCGCAGTGTCCTCTTTGGGGGCTCCATTCCACCAGTGCGACAGTGACTCCACTCTCTGACGCCAGCAGGCTCTGCTTCAGAACTAACATGCTGAAGGGCTGGACAGACAGGCAGGAGGAGACCCTGTCCCCACCAGCTGCTTTAGGTTCCACCTCCCAGGCACAATGTGAAAAGATGGAGTTACGAGGAGAGATGGGTCGGTGGTTAAGAACACTGGCTGCGGCCGGGCGTTGGTGGCGCACACCTTTAATCCCAGCACTCGGGAGGCAGAGGCAGGTGGATCTCTGTGAGTTCCAGGTCAGCCTGGTCTGTAGAGTAAGTTCCAGGACAGCCTCCATAACATTACAGAGAAACCCTGTGTCGAAAAACCAAAACCAAAACAAAACGAAACACTTCTATGGCAGAGGACCTGGATTCAGTATCTGGCAAACACACAGCAGTTCACAACCACCTGTAACTCGAGTTCCAAAGGATCTGATACTCTCTTCTGGCCTCTGTTGGCAGCAGGCAGGTAAGTGTGCACAGACATACACTAAGGCAAACATTCATATAAATAAAATTAAACCAAATTATATTTATATATAACACAATTATATATGTATATGTATATGCTCTTCAAGGCAGCTCTGGTTGTCTCGGAACTCTGTAGACCAGGCCGGCCTCCAAACTCACAGAGATCCCCCTGCCTCTGCCTTCTGAGTGCTGGGACTAAAGGCATGAGCCACCACACTTGACTTTTTCTTTTTGTTTTTCATTAAATATATTATTTTAAAAAGTGAATCTGAGTTCTGCCTCTGGCCTTGGTGGGGAACCAACCTTCTGCTGCCCTAAAAAATAACATTCTATGTTATGTCCCTCTCCCTTAAGAGGTAACCCAGCTGGATTTGCCAGTCACCTTCTTAGATCACCCCACCGACGTATTTGAAAAGTGTGCTGGTTTACCACTGTGTTTGCTTTGTGACTATAAAAATTTGATGAAGCTTATCACATTGGAACACAGAGTCTGGGGTAATGTCAGACTGTGTTCCTAGGCTATTTGGCTCCAGAATAAAAAAAAACCCTCCCCCTTTTGAGCGAGCGCTATTTTCTTTCTTCTGTCTTCAATCCAAACTATTCTAAATGCCACTGCCACGAGGAACAAATACAAACAAGGCGCTTATGCAGTCAACTTGGAGACAGTCCTGCAGGCACACCTGTGAGGGGTGGCGTTGACCAAGTTGACTGAGGCGGGAGGACCCATGCTAACGGAGGACAGCACCCTTCCCTGGGCGTGGCTCCTGGACTGCTTGAGAAAAAGGAAGTAAGTTGAGCACCAGCGTTCACATCCTTGATGGTGGGTGTCATGTGACCGTCTGCTTTGAGCTCCTGCCTTGTTGTCCCTGCCACAGGGACAACAAGGTCTGTGAGCCAAAGACATTATTTTCTTCCCTAAACTGCTTTCTTTGTTAGTTTCCTGAGACAGGGTCTCTATGGAGCTCTGGCTGTCCTAGAACTCACAGCGTAGACCAGGATGGCCTTGAACTCAGCCTCTCCCTCCCTCCTTGCTGGGATTAAAGGCGTGCTCCACCCACGGG